TAACCCTGGACAAATGCCAAGCAACGCTCCCAGTTTCACCTCTTCCCACACAAAGCCTACCCAACTCATTCACCACAAAGCTACAGTTGTCATCCAAGCAACTGCACAGCATCACGCCTTCGTTTCGGTGCGGGAAGGGACACGCTCAGCTCCACAGGAGCCAGATCGGACAGCACCAAGCTCTCCGGAATGATCTTCTGCGGGTTACGCCATGCTTCGCGCACCTCGATGTCATTCAGCATGATCACATCATCGAGCTTGGGCAACGGGTTCGGTGTGATGTTCACCTTTACAAGGGCGGTCACCACTGAGTCCTTGCCCTCAACACGCTTGCCCGAGATCGCAAACTTGAAGCCTGGATAACGACCTGGTAATGCTCACGACCATTCCAAGACACCGAACTTTTGAGCCGTCTCACCATGATCTTTCTCCTCTATCATCGTGAAGATATCTTGTTGTTGAAAACCACATTGCTTGTTGAAATCAGCATCATTGGACACATGAGCCGACTCCGATTGAGCAACAATGGAAATGCCATTACTTCGGCCGTATACCCTAGAATGAATCCTCTCTTTGCTGCACTCAGTACCATGACACTGCACTATAATGCCACTATTGCTGATGGATGCTTTATCCTGGATTACCTGGGATGTCTCTGGAATTGTCAGCCCTTGGCTGCAATTGAATCATTCGCCAAAAGAACCAAACCAAATCAAACCAAGGTACCAGGAGTGAAGCCAAACACATAGATCACGCGACCAACGCTGCACACAGTCCCCAAAGGCAGAGGCCTCATGCTGGTCAATTCGGCTAGACCCATCACCTCCTTCTTTTTCTCGGGCACTGCAGCAGCACTTCCACCAGCCGCACTGGAAGCCTTGGCCTTATTGAACCGCACCATCGCCCACACACACACACACAATTCACACCAAGATCGGCAGAGCCACCCTGCAGAATGCTGCAACATCCAGCTTGCCCAATGTGCTCCCATGAGTTGCAACATACAGCGTGCCCAATGTGCTCCCATGAGTTGCGACAGCATCGTTGCAAATCGTATGCAGATTGGTGGAATTAGTACCTCTCACCAGACATCGCGCCAATCCCCAACCCCAGAGCCCTGTTCTTCCCATACTGCCACAGAGGTTTAAAAATGGGCGACGACTTCTGCACGGTTAATGGATTTGCCCAACCGTGCCATCACCAAGTCTGAAGAAATCGCCAGGTTGCGGCCATGACACCAACTGGTTGACACAATGACAACATCTTTTTCACGATACCATCCATCACAGCCTGACTTGATGAAGTCCCTCGCAATCATGGAAAATCATCCTGTACAGGACCAGCATCAAACGGCCCGAGCTATGCTGCCATCAAACAGCTCCAGCAATGACTGACTTGCCTTCGCTGACACCACAGCCCATGCCAAATGCTGGAAAATGGCCACTCTCTGCCATTCACATCGCCTCACCACCTGCCAGATCTTCCTCCTCATGGGGCTGCGCATATACTTTTAACCCAGAGACTCTTCACCCAGAAACTCTTCACCCAGAAACTGCTTGCACAGGCATTTCACCCATATACTCTTCACACAGAGACTCTTCACCCAGAAACTCTTCTTGCACAGACATTTCACCCATATACCTTTCACCCAGAGACTCTTCTTGCACATACTGTTCAACCATATACTTTTCACCCAGAGACTCTTCACCCAGAACTCTTCTTGCACATACTTTTCACCAATATACTTTTCAACCAGAGACTCTTCACCCAGAAACTCTTCACCCAGAAACTGCTTGCACAGGCATTTCACCCATATACTCTTCACACAGAGACTCTTCACCCAGAAACTCTTCTTGCACAGACATTTCACCCATATACTCATCACCCAGAGACTCTTCACCCAGAAACTCTTCTTGCACAGACATTTCACCCATATACCTTTCACCCAGAGACTCTTCTTGCACATACTTTTCAACCATATACTTTTCTTTCACCCAGAGACTCTTCACCCAGAAACTCTTCTTGCACATACTTTTCACCAATATACTTTTCACCCAGAGACTCTTCACCCAGAAACTCTTCTTGCACATACATTTCACCCATATACTTTTCACCCAGAGACTCTTCACCCAGAAACTCTTCTTGTACATACTTTTCGCCCATATACTCTTCACCCAGAAACTCTTCTTGCACATACTTTTCACCCATATACTTTTTACCCAGAGAATACTTTTCACCCAGAGACTCTTCACCCAGAAACTCTTCTTGCACATACATTTCACCAATATACGTTTCACCCAGAGACTCTTCACACAGAAACTCTTCTTGCACATGCTTTTCACCCATATACTTTTCACCCAGAGACTCTTCACCCAGAAACTCTTCTTGCAAATGCTTTTCACCCACATACTTTTCACCCATAGACTCTTCACCAAGAAACTCTTCTTGCACATACTTTCACCCATATACGTTCCACCCAAGGACTCTTCACCCAGAAACTCTTCTTGCACATACTTTTCACCCATATACTTTTCACCCACAGACTCTTCACCAAGAAACTCTTCTTGCACATACTTTTCTTGCACATACTTTTCACCCACCCAGAAACTCTTCTTGCACATACTTTTCATTCATATACTTTTCAGCCAGAGACTCTTTCTTGCACATTACTGTTCACCCATATACTTTTCACCCACAGACTCTTCACCCCAGAAACTCTTCTGCACATACTTTTCAACCCAGAGACTCTCACCCAGAAACTCTCCTGCACATACTTTTCACCACATGTTACTTTACCAGAAGAAGAACTCTTCTGCACATTACTTTTCACCCAATACTTTTCACCCAGACAAAACTATTCTTGGCATGACTTTTCACCATAACTTTTCACCAAAAACCCTTCTTGCACATACTTTTCACCCATATACTTTTCACCCAGAAACTCTTCTTGCACATACTTTTCACCCATATACTTTTCACCCAGAAAACTCTTCTTGCACATACTTTTCACCCATATACTTTTCACCCACAGACTCTTCACCCAGAAACTCTTCCTGCACATACGTTTCACCCAGAGGCTCTTCACCCAGAAACTCTTCTTGCACATACTTTGCACCCAGAGACTCTTCACCCAGAAACTCTTCTTGCACATACTTTTCACCCATAAACTTTTCACCAAAAAAAAACCTTCTTGCACATACTTTTCACCCATAGTCGTTTCACCCAGAGACTCTTCACCCAGAAACTCTTCTTGGACATATTTTTCACCCATAAACTTTTTCACCCAGAAACTCTTCTTGCACATACTTTTCACCCATATACTTTTCACCCAGAAACTCTTCTTGCACATACTTGTCACCCATATACATTTTACCCAGAAACTCTTCTTGCGCATACTTTTCACCCATAAACTTTTCACCCAGAAACCCTTCTTGCACATACTTTTCACCCATAAACTTTTCACCCAGAAACTCTTGTTGCACATACTTTTCACCCATAAACTTTGCACCCAGAAACTCTTCTTGCACATACTTTTCACCCATATACTTTTCACCCAGAAACTCTTCTTGCACATACTTTTCACCCATATACTTTTCACCCAGGGACTCTTCACCCAGAAACTACTTTTTGCATACATTTTTACCCAGAGACTCTTCACCCAGAAACTCTTCTTGCACATGCTTTTCACCCATACTAGACTCTTCACCCAGAAACTCTTCTTGCACATACTTTTCACCCAGAGACTCTTCACCCAGAAACTCTTCTTGCACATACTTTTCACCCATACTTTTCACCCATATACTTTTCACCCACAGACTCTTCACCCAGAAACTCTTCCTGCACATACTTTTCACCCAGAGACTCTTCACCCAGAAACTCTTCTTGCACATACTTTTCACCCATAAACTCTTCACCCAGAAACTCTTCTTGCACATACTTTTCACCCATATACTTTTCACCCACAGACTCTTCACCCAGAAACTCTTCCTGCACATACTTTTCACCCAGAGACTCTTCACCCAGAAACTCTTCTTGCACATACTTTTCACCCATATACTTTTCACCCACAGACTCTTCACCCAGAGACTCTTCCTGCACATACTTTTCACCCATATACTTTTCACCCACAGACTCTTCACCCAGAAACTCTTCCTGCACATACTTCTCACCCAGAGACTCTTCACCCAGAAAATCTTCTTGCACATACTTTTGACCCATATACTTTTCACCCACAGACTCTTCACCCAGAAACTCTTCCTGCACATACTTTTCACCCATATACTTTTCACCCACAGACTCTTCACCCAGAAACTCTTCCTGCACATACTTTTCACCCATATACTTTTCACCCACAGGCTCTTCACCCAGAAACTCTTCCTGCACATACTTTTCACCCATATACTTTTCACCCACAGACTCTTCACCCAGAAACTCTTCCTGCACATACTTTTCACCCATATACTTTTCACCCACAGACTCTTCACCCAGAAACTCTTCCTGCACATACTTTTCACCCAGAGACTCTTCACCCAGAATTCTGGCAAATCAGGCAAACTTCCCTCTCTCTCCAATCTCCCCAGCAATGTCTTTCTCCCCATCCACTTCTCTAACTAGGTAGCCAGTCTATCTGTCCACCTGACCGACCCAAGAAAACGGGACCTAGGGGGAATCGAGACCCACCGTCACTGTTTTGCCGCATGGTACATTACCGTGAAAACGATACTTTTCCCGCGCCTAAAACACCACCTATTTACGACGTTTTGGGCCCCTTGAGGCAACTCTTCCCCCCCAGACCCCCTATTCTCACTTCGTTCGCAAATCACAACTAGCCAGCTTCCCGGCTGGCTTTCGTAATTTAGAGGAAAAAAACATGTCTTCAAATCCCCAAAGCACCGGAATCAGTGCCCAAAGCTGTTGCTGGGATTTGAATTGTGTATCTGTCCATGCAGACATGCAGCATGCTAAGTCATCAGATGTACGCCCAGCAAGTTTGCTTTTTTCATTTGCTCCAGAGACTCCGGCCTCGTCAAGAAACTAGCACAGATGTCTGTAACTATTGACTATACATCTATACATTTATAAAAAAGTGTTCTGTTAAAGCATGTTGAAGCAACGTCGAATCTTCACGATTCATGCTGATGGTCTTTACCTTCAGCGCTGGGAAGCCTCCACAACATCTTTGAAGGTGTAGAAACCCTTGGCAGCAGCCACTGCATCCAATGGATTCACCTTCGAGAACATGTTGTTGGGGACGCTGGAATCAACGACCTTGGCCATAGAATTGTACACATCCATCACGGTAGTCTTGGGCACGGATGCCACCAAGCGCCCAATGGCTGCATTCACAGCTTCGTAGTCGGCCGCGGACGTCACACCAGTGGCATCAATGCTGCCAATGGCCTTGTGGTGTGCCTCTGCTGCTGCCTTCAAGAGGTTGCCATCCATCTTGGCGCCCATCACGATCATCTTGTCAATGGCTTGCAGCGTCTCTGGGGCAGTCTTGCCGGGCAGCGGCTTCAGGTAAACGTCCGACAGCCAATCGATGTCCTTGATGAAAGGATAGGATGCATCGGACAACGCTTTTGCAGCTTCACCAATTTTGTCTCCGGAAGGCACAACTGCAGGAGCACTGGCCGTGGCCACCTGGTTCTTTTCAACAACATCCTTGAATTCCAGGAATCCTTGGTAGGCCTTTTCGGCATCAGGTCCGTTCACCAAGGACTTCATGTAAGCTGGCACTCCGGGGTCCGTGATGGCTTTCACTGAATCGTAAACAGCCATGACCTTTGCTTTGGGGACTGAAGCGATTACACGGCCAAGGGCTGCATTCACGGCATCCCAGTCAGCACGCGAAGTCACACCATTTGGCCCGCTGATGCTCCCGATGGCCTTGTGATGTGCTTCTGCTGCCTCCTTTAGAAGCTTTGGATCTGCGGCTGCCCCCATTTCGATCATCTTGTCAATGGCTTTCAAAGCTTCCAAGGGCTGAAACTTGCCAGGGGCCTGCAGGAAAATGCCATTGTTCCAGTCCACTTCCTTGGCAAAAGAGTAGGAAGCATCCCCAAGCTTCTTTGCAGCATCGCCGATCTCATCAGCAAAAGCCGCAGGAGCCATCATCATGCTGGCTGCTGCTGCGGCCACTGGAGCAGCATGCCGAGGCCCAGGCACAAAATTCAAGTGCCGCTGGAGACAGCATGCAGCAGCCACCGCAACTCCGACAGCAATAGCTTTCCTTGCTCCACGCACCATGGCCACCAAAAGTTCAAAAGTCTTTAAGTGGGCCGGAGTTGGTCAAAAATTAGCCTCTAAAACTGGCTTGAGCCAAAGTAAGCGGCGTGATAATCCCAGTCACCGACAAACCAATATCTTCAAATCATTTCAAATCCACAAAGCACCCAGAATCAATGCCCGAAATGTTGAATTCCAAGGGGCTGCTTTAGTTCAGCCATAACCTCGATGATCATATAGACGCACATGGCCTGCGACTTGCCATGGATGGTGCCCTTCTTCAGATAAATCTGGACTAAATGTCACAGCGGAACCGATCCAAACTTGACTCCGACCTCTCTGCGGTGCTTTGCGCCCGAAGGAATGCCAGCTGGGCCGACTTCACGAAGGGTTTGCAAGGTCTGGCAGAATCACTACAGAGACGCTTACACTTGTATAATCGCACAGTTTCTGATGCTTTCCAAGACTGTCCTTACACATGGCACAAAGCAAGGGCTTGTGCGATATTCCTCTTCTCCAAAAAAGCAAACAGTCACAAATAGATACAGTGTAAAATGACAAAACATGCGATTCAGTGCATATGCTACATTTCCTTCCTTGAGTTGCCCCCTTGGGTGCCTGTTCTGCGAGTGCCAAGGCCTTTTTTGGCCACCGGCTGTAGAGCAGCCAGCCAGCCATGGCATGTGTTTGGATTGCTTCTTGTCGCCTTGGCCGATCTCAACACGCCAATGAACACCATGCAATATCTATGGCAATCTATGGAAACTTGGAGATCCAAGAGTTTGAACATAACAACAGAAATGGGTGTGTGTGTGTGAAACTATGTACACTCGAAAATAATACAATATCAGAAAAAATAGTAATGATAGGAATGATAGTTGCAATAATAATAATAAGATCAACGTTTTGGCGGATACCCAAATGCCCTGGTCTTACACCAAGCCACTTCATTCCGAGTTCACGCCACAAGGCCAAGGCAGCTCTACCTCTCTCCATCGCCTCATCGATTTTCCTGCCATCAGAATGCGCCAATCACTTCCAGCAAGCAAGAGTAGCCTAGAGACAAAGCATGACACCCTCCGGCAATCAAACATGGTTTGCTGGAAAATGCCGTTTAGTTTGATGATTTTCCCCATCATTTCCCATCAAAACTTCGATGTATAGGGGATTCCCATTGCCGTTTTTGATTATATACAAGGGATTACAAGGGTATAGCTGCAAGAAAAGATCACAAATGCCGAAACGGCCCATCTGCAGAGCGTCCTCTGAGAGCTAAAGGCGAGACCTGTGAGATTCTGCGCTTTTGCAGTCAGGAATTTATCACCCAACTGCTCTGCTATGTCCAGGCTCCGTTGCGCCTCCTGCCAGGGGTCATTTTTTAGAAGCGATTGTGAATCCAGCAATCCCGAAAGGTTGGATTTCAATGGATTTCAAGCGCATCTGAGAAAAAGTCGTACAAACACGCCCAGTTGACCTCATTCCATGTTTTGGACTGTCTAAAAAAAAATTGAGAGGAAGCATCCACGTCCTCCAACATAGCATCGTACATGAAGAACTTGTAGTGTGCCATTCCTGTGACTATCAATGTAAGAACCTCCCAGGGCAGCAAAGCAGTAAGGATTCAAGTATCTCTTGGCATTTTGTCAGCATCGAAATTTCCCCAGCACTTGTGACTCTTCCTCTGAAAAAACAAACCTGCCTCGAACTTCCTGTCGTTGATCTCCACAAAAATCCTCAACGCCTCTGCCGCAGTTTCGAGGGCCTCTTGTCGTTTTTTTCTACCGCGCTTGTCGTGGTTGATCCTCAGTTGATCACAGAAAGAAGTGAAAAAGTGTGAGAAAAATCAAATAAAATCAGCCATGTGGGGAAGGTTTGCTCCAATTCAATCCCTTTTTTTGCCTCATGCTGACTTTCAGGTGCTTTCAAGTGCTGACAGCATCTGAGGCATTGGCTCAGCTAAGGACAAGAGCATCGCGGCCTCCCCGCGCCGATTCTTGCTCACTCGGAACTTCTCTAAGTACTGTCCGCTAATGGACAAAGCCTGCGAACCATTGAAGCTGCACGGAAGCTGGTGGTTTCACGGACGCGATCTCTACTCTATGTATACATGTAAATATATATATAGAGAGAGAGAGAATGTATATACATATATAATCATATACATATACGCACATAATCGGACATAGTATTTACATACAACATAACATATACGAATGAAATGCGTTAGGTTTCCGGCACTTTCATGGGGTACCAAATGAATACAAATTCACTGATGCAAACCATGAAGAATCATGACCAGCCGATGCTAGACTGCTGCCAGCACGCGCAAAAACAAACAATGTTTCTCAACCATCACATCATGGTAATGTGGCAAATCACTGACGTCACATTCATAATCTGCTCTATCTCTCATCAATGAAATGCGCCTGAATGGATTTATGCCAGATCAACATGCAAGATATCATAAAGACATAGGCGTCTTTTTTACGGCCGGTTTCCTTTTCCCACGTTTCAGACCATTTTTTGTTTATATCCCTTTTCTGTATGATTTTTTTAGGTATACCCTTTACGGGGTGCCTTGTATATGTATATATGTGTATGTATGTGTAATATACCTGAGAAGGGGGGCATCGAAAACCAGCTCCTATAATGAAACCCCCGCGCACACCAAATTGCCTGACCTTCAGCATTGAAATCCTCCAGTTGTAACCTAGCCCTAACTGCACAGAAAGTTTTCAGGCAGGCGTCCTGAAACTCTGTTGGTGGCTTACGTATCTTCAATCTCTCGAGCAATATACTTTTCTCCATCTATTTGCTTTAGTGGCCAAAAACCGGACTGAGGGGAAACCGATACCCTATTGCAGCAAACTTCCTGCGCGTAATACCTTCAAAATTGGAGTTCTTCTGTTGGAACAAGCCCGTTAGCATCACGACTGAAAGCATAAAACTTCTTGCGCAGAACACCTTCAAAATTGGAGTTCTCTAGTTGCAGCAACCCCGCAAGCATCACGACTGCGCGTACTCCAGGTCGCCTTCCTAAAACTCTGTTGGCCAGCTAAGAATCTAGTCTCTTAAGCAAAATGTTTCGCTCCACGTAGCTCACCCACGAAAACCCAGACCGAGGGGGAATCGATACCCTACCAGCGCGTAACAGCCGCCGTTCTTGGCGTAAGAAAAGCTCAACCTGCCACGAAATATGGCCCCAACATGGCGTCTAAGAGCCTAACATGGATCAACACAAGCCCAACATAGGCTCCATATACACCCAACATGGTCCCGACATGATCAAAAAACGACGTGTTCCTTTTGGGCCGGGTAAAGGCTTGAAAGGAACACGCCGTTCTTGGCTTAACAGAAGCTCAACATGGCACGAATATGGCCCCAACTTGGGGTCTAAGAGCCCAACATGGACCAACATAAGCCTAACATAGGTCCCACATAGGCCCAACATGGTCCCGACATGATCCAAAAACGACGTGTTCCTTTTGGGCCAGGCAAAGGCTTAAAAGGAACACGCCGTTCTTGGCTTAGCATAAACTCAGCATGGCACGAAATATGGCCCCAACATGGCGTCTAAGAGCCTAACATGGATCAACATTGGCCCCCCCGACATGATCCAAAAGCGGTGTGTTCCTTTTGGGCCGGTACAGGCTAAAAAGGAACACGCCGTTCTTGGCTTAAGATAAGCTCAACCTGGCACGAAATATGGCCCCAACATGGCGTCTAAGAGCCTAACATGGGTCAACATAAGCCCAACATAAGCCCAACATAGGCTCCATATACGCCCAACATGGTCCCGACATGATCAAAAAACGACGTGTTCCTTTTGGGCCGGGTAAAGGCTTGAAAGGAACACGCCGTTCTTGGCTTAACAGAAGCTCAACATGGCACGAATATGGCCCCAACTTGGGGTCTAAGAGCCCAACATGGACCAACATAAGCCTAACATAGGTCCCACATAGGCCTAACACGGCTTAACATGACCGTGATCTAAACATGCAGACTCTAGGTTGCCTTCTTGGCTCCATTGGTACGCCGCACGATGGTAGCGTTCTGTACTTCGCAAAGGTATCTGCCACAGCTTTTCCACGACCCCAGGTGATCCCACTTGTATCCACGTGTATCGTCAGAAACAGATGACGTGACGTTCCACGGTATGCAAAAGATATCGCATGTGACACTGACACTATTCCACAGCAGAGCTGCCAAAAGCCAGAAGGAGAGGGCCTGCTCTGCTACAGTTCTGTTAGCCTGCAGCATCTGCATATCATTGCATCTGCAATCTTTTTCGTGACAAAATATGAAATCTGTTAAGCATGCGTTCTTCAAGGCCGGCTTTGATTCTGCCGCTTCTCCCTAACATTACATCTGTCTTCTTCATTCTTCTCACCGTATGCGGACGCCTTTATCCACTTATCCATGTCTCCATCTCACATCTAGCTCTCTAGCTGTCATCCGCTGGCAGCCAAAGAGAGATGACGTGACGGTCCACTTTCAGCACACCACTTTGCATGTGCCGATGTCTCTAGACCGCAGCCTGGATAGTAGCCGCCCGTCTCTGCGGTCCTTTCTCCCATTCAAAATCTGCAAGCTTAACTACCAACTGCCAGCGCAAGACACAATCTCCCAAGAAGGAAGAACGGCATAGCCATAGCTCTATGTCAGCTTGCTTTGCAGCTTGCTGCCGACAAAGTTTCCATGACCTCTATCCATCTGGCTATCTACCTATCTATCAACCTAGCCTTCCGTCAATCCATCCATGTACCAACCTAACTTTCACTCTCTCTCTCTCTCTCTCTCTTTCTCCATGCCCCCATCTATGCATCTATGTAGCTATGCGCGATCTATCCGTCCATCCATCCACCCATGTCATCCAGCCAGCCAGCCGTCGCGATCGTTCTATCTATCTATATGTCTATCGTTTTATCTACCTATCTGTCTATCCATCTATCTATCTATCTATTTATCTCTATCTATCTATCTATCTATCTGTCTGTCTGTCTATCTATCTATCTAGCTAGCTAGCTATCTATCTATCTATCTATCTATCTGTCCTTCTATCTATCTATCTATCTATCTATCTATCTATCTATCTATCTATCTATCTATCTATCTATCTATCTATCTATCTATCTATCTATCTTATCTATCTAATCTATCTATCTAATCTATCTATCTAATCTATCTATCTAATCTATCTATCTAATCTATCTATCTAATCTATCTATCTAATCTATCTATCTGATCTATCTATCTATCTGATCTATCTATCTATCTATCTATCTATCTATCTATCTAATCTATCTATCTATACCTCTCCATCTAGCTGTCATCCAGCTATCGAAATATTCTCTCTCGGTCTACTCTCCATCCATCTATTATCTGCCTATCTATTGATCTATTTGTCTACTTATTTTGCCCTAGTATTTGCCTACCTATTTAACCCCAATATCACAGACCAGGGGGGAATCGATACCCACCGTCACCCATTTGCGACCTGGTACACTACCCTGCAAAACAGACCCTGAACACGGCCTCCCCCCAGACCCCGAATCTCTCACTTCGTTCGCAAAAAACAACTAGCCAGATTGTCCGGCTGGCTTTCGTAATATGTGAACCATCAGAAAATACCTCAACTGCGGCTTGGGAGCATTTTGTGGCTTCTCCTGCATAGTGGTTGCCATCTGCCGATGAGCATCGACCAGGATGTACAGGGCATCAATGAGGCCCGAGGCACCTGCAGGATATTTCAATGGCACCGTAAAAACAATGCCTGACTATCCCAAAGTGTAGATTATACATGATTATACGAAGCTATACTGCCGAAAATCCTTTATAATGATACTTAATTTACACATAATATATCATAATATATACAGTTATATACATATCTTTTTGACCAGACTGGGATATATGATATATGAATATATATGATATGATTGGATTCTGTCCATCAGAGGACCTTCAGCTCCCATGCCATGAAAGATCTGCACGGCTTTCTCAGCTGCCGCAATGCAGTCCTAAAAAAAGGCGGCGAAATGGCGAAATGGACTGCAGGACAAGATGGTGATTTCCCCATGGTATTTCATCAACCGTGGGGAAATCGCCTTTGTAAAACCAATAAAGCTCCGGATTCGATGTCATTCAAAAATTTATTCGCCCCAAACTCAAAGGCCTGGAAGCGACCTCACGTCGTGAAGCCTAGCAGTCCTGGAACTGCTCATCACGTATCGCGGACTCAGCTTGTCCGTAGAGTTGTGCAGCCTCCCGCATGGACGCCATGTGTGGCTGCCAGGGGCACCTCGGAGCAGCTCTACTTGTGGATCTTCATAGATCTTCATGTGGCCATCTGCAATGCATCGTGTTTCTTCTTTTTTCTGGCAAGCTCAAACCAGTTCTAAGGCTGCGAAGATGACAAGAGGAAACACACCATATCCATCTGCCATCATCTACCATCATCTGCCATCATCTGCCGTCATCTGCCGTCATCTGCCACCAACCAGCACTCCTAAGAAAACTTGTACCTAGTGCCAAGGTGCCTGGCCAAAACACAGCACCAGCTCGGGCACAGGCGGAGCGTCTAAAGCCTGCCCTTCTCACCGTCGTGTGTCGTGCTGTTTGGTGTAGGCATTGTGTAGGCTATGTCACATGATTGGCAAAGGCTCGCATGCCAAACTGATTTGAAAAGCATTGCTGAGTAAAGTGAGTCTGCTTCGGACATTGTGCCCCGACTTGTCGTTGCCATACTGCACCACTGTCCTGTCTAGAGCCTACACGGCCATCGACGCACGTTCTCTTTTCAACGACAAAGATCATCTGATACAATGTGATACAGCTATCAGTCCAATAGGTACAGTCTTTGAACGATCGCAATCTGGAACATGAGTCATTGACTGCTGCCCTCCAACACCTTTTGGCCGCGGAAAACTGTGCTGGCTCCAGAAACATTAGTCTAACGCGATCACCTACCAATGCAATCTGATGGATCAATCCTCATGCGAAATGAGATGATCAAAGGTTCTTCCTTTGAGATTGGCAGGTAGAAATCAGATTGCAGTGAAACGACACACTTGATAGGTTTGGACTGCTGAATGACGTTGCATTGGTCATATTCCAGCAGCCAGTAGTTAGTTTTAGTTGTTTACCAAGCAACTTTCTTTTGGTGGATGCAAAAGTCTGCCGTCCTATGAATGATACCAAAATGTGAAACTCAGAGATTCGACTATACCAGATTTACCATGTCGCTCGACTCTAGACTTTAGCGTTTTGTGGAGGTCGGTTGCATGGCAACATTTGATTCTCACCGTGCATGTTTGCAACGGGCATGGCCTTTGGCGAATGCCTTTGAGCAGCATTGGGGGACCTCCGACCATCGGCAGCTGTTCATTTGTCGTTCTTCTCTCCTGGCACCTGGGCAGATTCACTGAAGGTCTCGTGCAACAGGCTGCCCAGATCCCAAGACGTCTGACATAAGGTGCCTTCACTTTTGACAGCTCACCATATGTCTGCTTTCCGAAGTTGAAGGGCACATACCTGCATCATTGCTGCATCCCACAACATCCCAAAAGGCTGACTCAGAGCGAGTGACCCTTCATGAGGTTTTAGTATGTTTGAATACGTTTTAATACCACAGCACTGCTTTCAGAGGAAAAGGAGAAAGACATAAAAAGACCACGTCTCGTACTCTGAGTCACAAGTCGTCTTGAAATTTTTGGGGGGACCAGCCCGTGGCAAAAAAGTGGGGAGATCAGAACAGAGCTGAGATCTCAACTTGTGTTTGATCATATGCTTCACCCTGTCCTTCATAGTCAAAACCTGTGCAGCTCGTCTTTGGTGGCCTGTGGGGCAACCTCTTAAAGTCCCTGCTGAGTTGGTCATTCGCACTGCTTCAGCAAATGCAGCCATGCAGCCAAGAGCAAAATGAAATACGCTAGGAGAATGGGCCAATAGACCTGGACACAATGCGCAGTCTGGGCACGTATTTTTGGTGCACAACACAGTCCCGAACTGCAGCTATTGGATCTGAGGTAAACACGGGCAGGTCAAAGAATGGGATGAAGGTCATACCCTTGGCACAATGCTTGGCTGCGATACGTCATGAATGACTTGGTGCTACAAAATGAGGGGAAAAAACACTTGGAACATCTTTGTGATGGCTCCCCTCTGCTGTATATATACTAGTTATGTATATACATACATACATATATATATATATATCTGTACACTGGTTTTGGGGATGGGGGAAACAGCAGCGATACTCTGGGCCCCAAACCAAAGCTATTGCAGTTGCGCGGGCGCCGCTCCACCAGAATTTGAACTCCGGCAGCTTGCGAGTAAATGGCCTAACAGTTTTGCAGTTTATTGCACCAAACATTAGCGGCTAATGTTTGCACTTTTGATCCAAAACAATGAGGATCAATCCAGGATCAATCAGGTGTATCTTGAGCGTACTTCGTGATTGCAAAACTGAGAGGCTGGCCTATATTCAGTTGATTCTTTCACCGGCAAGGTGGTCTCTTCAGTTTCTGGATCGACTGCCTCACAGGGAGCTAAGCCACTTGCAATCAAAAAATGCTGCCTGATGTCAGAGAACCATGTCTGAGTCTGAGTAGCTCACAGGAGACAAAAAATTGATGAAAAGGTTCAGCATGTAGATTCCCAGACCATACCTTGAAAGGAGATGGTCAACAGGTGGCGGAAAGCCTAAGGGAGCTACTCTCCTGTCCTTCCTCTTTCCTCTCCCAAAGTCAAGGTGTCACGCAAATCATTTGCCAAGCGGCGAAACTACGAAAAAGCCCTGCTTCATGTAGACTCTGGCCTCACCAGTCTATCAGAAGTCAGTGTTTCTACATGACCTGAACCCCAAGCCCAGCATATCCACCAATTCTCAGCTGCCAATCGCAACATCAGCAGACTCTAATCCAAAACTGTGAAGAACCCACCGCATTCCTAGCGGTGGGGAGAGGTGCAACACTTTTCCAACAAGTTTTCGCTGAGGACTTTGCTGCAAACAATACCAACAAGACTGCGAAGATTGCCCATCGCACCCTCACCTCAATAAAAGAAGTTCAAGGTTTGCGATAGCGACAGTGACATAGGGTGTGACAGCAAGTCCTTGAAAGACTTGGTTCCTATACCATCCTATACCTATACGTGATAAATCATGCTCCTCCACTCTAGCGCATCACGGCACAAGGCGCTGGCCCAAACCACTGTCTTGTCTAGGTACCGCTGCAACACACGCTGCGCCTGTCGTGATTGCGAGTCACTGGGATGTAAAACCAAATACCGGTAACTTTCTTCAGTTGTCATGCAAATTGCCCTTTTGATGCCCATGAGCGCATAGCCACATGCCATATGATGCCACACGCACTAAATACTAGATTGGTCTTAGGGAAGTTGTACAGGGAACTCGTTTCAATTGAGAAAACCATGTTAATAAATAAAGTCTAAAGGCCGTCAAAAGGAGTAAAAATAAAATACATATTTAAAAAAAATATATCAAGCCAGCTGTTACTCCAGAATGGTCATCGTGGACCTGTACTAGTTGCGCAATGCCCGCTGGCTCTGTTGTCTCCTGGCGCATCTCATCCATTGGGAACTAAACGTGTCAGGGGTGCTCCCAAAACTCATCCAATACAAAGGTGGAAAAATGGTGGAAAAATTGCTAGATAAAGTGACAATTACCAATTGTCACCCCCAAAGGTGGCCATAATTTACCTATGATTCTATGATAGGTTGGAGGTTGGAGTAACCCTGAGACTTGGGGTAATTTCATCGCTTCCCTAAACCAATCCAGTGATCACTGCGCAAATTTGGCTCCTCCATGTTTTGCGCCAAAATTCCCTATGGGCCTTGGATTGGATATCTCGGATATCTTGGACGTGGAGCAGCAAGTCCAAGATGGGTTTCTCTGAAAATGGGGTGGATACAGCGGATATGTGAAAAGAACCAAAATTGTCATTTTTGTGCGGAAAAACTGGCAAGGCTAGCATTCTTTCCAAAGCTTGAGGCCAGAACCGCCCCTGTAGAAGGACGAAACCCCAATTTCGCACTCAAGCTATACAGCCAAAAAGCATCCAGGATGACCCCAAAAAGATCAAAAAGGATCCAATGGCAAACCAGGGTTTCTACAGTAATATTGGGGCAAAGGATTGTACCCCTGGTGAACATCAAAATAGCTGGTAAATGGATGTTCATCCCCCTAAAAATGGTATTAATAGGTATTGATCCATACCCACAGTAATATTGGGGCAAAGGATTGTGCTAGTCACTGCTAGTCTTGCAGGTTGCTTGCGAGTCAGGCAGTTCGACTGTTTTACCCACTGCCATGCTGCGAAATCAACAGCCGAAGGGCTGGGCTGGCAGGCTGGGACTTAGCATACAAAAATCTCACTTCAAAATTCCCTTGAAATCTGGAGTAAAGCCACGCCACCTGGACTTGCATGACAAAATACAAATTCATACATGTTCATTGTCATACACATTTCAAACAGCTAGCTGAATCTCAATTATTTAAGATGATTTAAGCATCTTTCAGGTCATTCATGCTTTCCCTTTGAAGGGGGACTGGGCTTCTCCAGTTGCTGAAGTACACCGCTTCTTAGAAGCTGGAAGAGCTGTGTGCCTTGAGCACAGACAGCTGACAAATGCATTTTTGTGGCAGCCGCACCTGATCTCCGAACATAATGGATATCATGGCACATTGGTACATCAACAATAGTTGGATTCATGAGAAAATATCGAAAAAAACAACCGCTGGATTTCACTAGCAGGTGGGACTCTACATTAGCCCTGGCCGAGATCAGCCTCACTCATGGATTCGGCCTTATGTTTTCTGTCAGCTTCCAAGAGCTTGCATGAGCGCAATGAGTTGCCTCCCAATCTCAGCCACCATGCACCACCATCATGTACCAAAGAAGGAAAAACATCTACAATATTCTACAATACTGTAAAACTGTAAAACCTTGTTTGTCCCTCGTTTATCCATGGTTATCCTTCTATTTACTAAAATTGATTAGTCGTTCGTTGATCATCTAAGCTGCCAGCGAGGTCGTGTGCATGAAAGGCTGTTACCAACAAAGTCCGCTCCAAAGTTGTCGGACCTGGACGATCCGTATACAAGCACAGGCCCTGACGAGGCACGTGTCGCCACGGTCGCCACGGTCGCCACGGTCGCCACGGTCGCCACGCACCTTGTATGACTGGCTGAGGATCCTCTTCAATGGGACCTGCCGCCGAAGCAGGTGATACGACTGCGGCAAGACTGCGATGACTGCTATGACCGGTGCATGACATCCATTCAGCATCTTCTCTTGTGGCCTAAACTTGCTCCAGCATCATCCTCGTCCCCTGCTGGAGCCACAGATCAAACATCATCAAACAGCATCGAACGCCAAGCTTTAAACTTTGCGGTTCAATTTCAATGCTAAAATTTGCCACTGCTCTCCCATACAAGAAGCTTCAACGCAGTGGTGTTGCAACTCTCTGGGCTCACCCTCAACACCCTCAACTCTCCAGCCATCCTCGGGAGAGCCACCTGAGTCGTGGCCAGGAGAAATGCTTTCGTATGCGATGTAAACAATGTATAAACAATGGTCCGCAACGGTATGCGTTCGTTCCAATGAAATTTCCGAAAACCATCGAAAACCAGCATAAGGTTGACACCTTGCTTGGGAACATCGCCTTAGAAGCCACGAAGCAGCAACGCAGTGACAGCAGGACGTCGGACGTCCCCGTTCAAGCAGAATTCCCAGAGTCGAACGAAATGCAGCTGCGAGAATAGCATCAGCCTGGTGAGGGCGCCGGTCACTGGATACACGGCGCCGGTGTCTGAAAAAACGACGCAACAAATTCTGCAGTGGCGCACCGTTCTTTGCGGAGAGGCCCACCCCGGGAGCTCCACCTGCAAGATCTTAAATCTTAACAATTCTTAACACACTGCGGCTGCCAAGAACTGAGTGAATCCAAGTGTCACATGGCCAGACTTCAGACTTTCAGACTTGGCCTGTTCCACCTCCATGAAAATGGTGGGATGTCTGACCAACAGCTGGCGCATGGCTGGCCTTGGTGGTTGATGGAGCCCCAGTCTCACAGGGTCACAGGTCGGTCTCGCTCCAAGATCCAAACAGATGTTTGGGGTATCGCCGTCCGAGATCACCACTACCTGGAACTAAAAAAAAGCAAATCACTCTGAAAATCTAACATGATCTAACTACCAAAAGATCATGAACCAAAATGTCATGGCAAAACCTGCAAACATAAAAAAACCAGATGCAATGATAGTTGTAGTAGTGTAGTTGGTGTATGTCGGTGTACCCATGGGAAGCCATGGGAGTTCCCATCGAAATTCCCATCAGAAGCCAACATCACCGCCGTATCGTCTAGGCTTCTCACTGCCCCTGCTTGGCCTCTTGGAGCGAGGCCTGGATGGTCATCCCCGCATCTTGAGTATATCAAACATTATCAAACAACTGCAAAGTCAAAGATATCTGGGCCTCTCCAAGCCGGACCTCAAAGCACGTTCAAATGCTGGGAGCTATGATGTCAAGCTGTTGGCAGTGGGCTGTCTGCTGTTGGCAATGCAACACTGGTGAGGCCGACAAAGTTTCATGAAAAACATCCACAACCGACACTGGTTGTTTCCTAAAGTCAAAGAAATTGCCCACTTGTGTGACTTGTGTGATGCGCAAAGTTGGGTCTGTTCTGAGACATGTCTAAGTGTTTTTGTCTCTGCTTCAACCCGAGTCTTACCACACTTTTCTCGCCTGAGGACATCTGACTTCCTCTGACCCCAACCTTGAAACATGTTCAGCCCAGACACTGCCTTAGAAGCTCTTCAGCTTTTTGGCGCGAACCTGGGCCGGAGGGGGTCACCTAAACCCTTCCATATCGTTTGATCACCAATTGTCATACGCCTTAAAGCCTGTCTTCACCATCGCATTGGGCCGCCCAGCTGTCGAAGTACCAGTGCATGTAAATAAAGAGCCATAGAAGCTTGTGAAATGAGGACAGCTGCGCCTGGCTCCACTTGAAACAGAAAACTCGTGGGCACAGCAATGCACGGCAATTCGATGCATACATCAAGGTTTTCATATGATTTTCTTCCGTGAGACTAAGACTTATAAGACTTTACTAAGACTTGAGCAAAAATATCAAAAATCATGAAAAATCCAAGAGAAGGATCCAACCTGAGGTTCATTCCCATAGTAGGTCAAATACATCAGGCCAATCTTCATCACAACCTTCACCTGGACACCCATCAAGTCATGGAATGCACATCCTAATGTCCGGAACGTCGCTGTTGTGCACAACAGTGTATCTATTTTTAGTACATGGTAAATATCATGGTAAATATCATTAATCAATACCAGCTTTTTAGATCCTTCACTATCACCAATTAATCACGCCATCTGGAGGTATCTGGAGATCAGTTCCCATCAGTTCCATCCCGGTCAAGCCGCAAAGGCTTCAGCACCAAAGGGCGACTCTTTGGAATTCGCAGGCTGCACCTTGGCGAAAATCCGGGAGATGCTGCGTATGAAGATGACTGGAACCCCAAAATCGAATGACTCATCATGAGATTTTCCCATAAAAGTGGTGACTTTCCAAATGAAAATTGTTATCTGATGTTATTTGGTGGGATAACCCCATTTTCAGCCACAAGCTTCGTTCATCCAGTTTCCCCTGGAAGCTGAGCTATCGGCAGTGCCGGAAGAGATAAACAAAGGATGCTTCTGCTCAAAGCTCGCCTCCCTCAGCCTCGCGAAATTTCCCCAGCGCAAGCAATTTCAACGTCCAATCCTGTGCAGCGCATGATACAGTACAATATAGTAGTATATATATAATATATATGTGTGTGTAATATATATATATATAATATATATATATATATTATATATATTATATATATTATATATATGTACGCGTCCTGGTTAAAATCCCGTGTTTCTCACTCGACTAAGATTACACAAGTAAACATGATCAAGGATTGCTGACCTTATACGGACATACTCAAATATGTCCGCCAGGCAATGTTTGATTCCATCTGATACATGAACATGTCAAAGAGCACAATACACCGTAAAAACGCAGTACAAAATGAAGTTTTCACGATTTGGACGTTATCAAACATTGTTCGTTTCCCTGGAACCACAATGTCGCTATCCTGAAAACATATTTCCAAAATAGATATCCTCACCTAAGCATCACGATGTCAGCAAAATGAATAATCACAAAAAAACAACACAGGATAACAACATGGTAAATGCTCATGTTATTCATGTTGGGATATGTTGGTCATGCTAGAGTGAAGCCTGCTAGCTTCCCGGATCTCCTCCAGCAAGTCTACAAACTCCTGAGCAGTTGCGTGCAGGGGACATTGGTCTGGACTGCTTGACACATGCAGAAAATGCGAGTATCCTTGCCAAATGCTTCGAAAATTCTTTGAAAAGGGATATCAACCTCTCCTCCTCCGTCACATCATCGTCCACGGTCTTGCCAATGAAAGTGAAAGGATTGTCGATTGCCATTGCAGCGGTCCTGGCTGGATCGAGACATTCCTGCGAAAAGGCAACAACACCCGAAACAATTCACCGCTGCAGTCCTAGAACTGGACAACCCAGGTTCTGCTTGTTGAAGCGATCGTGCCTGCCGTGTCACTATAGTAGTCAGAAAGTGCCAGAAAGCTTTCTATTGTGCTCATGTACTCTATATAATCACCTCAATCTGGAAGCGGGTGCATCCCACCTGTCGAACGACGACCCCAACAGAAACAAGGCCTAGCATCGGGTCGTGCAATGGACTCATCACCAATCTCTCTGGCGGTCGTCAGTAAACACGGAGCGGCCTGTGTGATCCACGTCCAGCATCCTGGTGACATTGGCGACAGTCACTGTGTGATTTGTTCGTTCCAAAGGATCTGAGGGCCACTTTAAGCCACTTTGGGAATAAGCTTCTGGACGCCTGTAAAAGGACCCTGGAGCCAAGCCACTCAACCTGGCAAACTCAGGTGAGTCAAGCTTGAATTCATCAAGCTGTAGCATTCTGTGGCCGCTTCATCATCTCTAGCATCTCGCTCGAAAAAACATGCAGAGGAAGGCTCCAAACGTGCAGCCAATTCTGTGAAGAAGAGATATGCCTGGCTATCCACAAGTCGCATATGTGCCGGATCCTCCAAGTCTTAAAGCCCATAGTGATGAAATGTGATGAATATTAGCCAGAAAGCCCATCTTAGAAAGTCTCCAGGTGGTCGCTTTCACACCTCATCTTGAGTTCTCTTCATGATGGTTGAAACATGTTGAAACATGATGTTGAAACGGTTGAAACGGTTGAATGGTGAGGTCCAGTGACCAGGTCTTGACAATGCACTGAATATGCGCCAGTGTGACGCTCGACTCGAGTTTGCTCATCTTTGCCAAGTCTTTCAGAAAGCAGTTCCTGGCCCTGGCATCACTGGCATGGCATTCTGCTTCCTTCGACAAACATGCAAGATAATTCAAAATGGTCCAAAGTTGTCCAAAGAATGGCTGTAAAAACCCTATGAGTCATTGCAGTCATGCTATACAGATAGCAGCGATTAGTGGTTCTGCATTGGATCTGTGACCTACAGCAGTCCATGATCAGTTCGAATTACCCTCTGGTAAACTAACATAACTATGGAAAATCACCATGTTTAATGGGAAAATCCACTATAAATGGCCATTTTCAATAGCTATGTTAAATTACCAGAGGGTAATTCCTCCTGCGCCAACCAAAAAACCGCGTCCTGCTGCGGCTTTCTTTGGCAAGGCGGGCTGCCACTCTTGCCATCTCCAGCGTTGGAAAGTCGATGGCCTGGGTGGCGCGATTAGCACTCAGTCAATAGTCAATAGTACCGTAATATACCGTAATAATTGTTATCATGATTAAATTATATTAAATTATAGTTGATTATATAAGACATATTAGAATATAATACTCCCCCGACCACACAAGATTGGATGCATCTCTCGATGGAGTTGAGTGTTTCAACAGATTCTCACATGCATCAAGCCCTGCAATACAGGCAGTGCATGGCTCAGCATGGCTTGCAGAAAAGGTACTGTGCTGCCTTGACGGAAAACCAAAAGACCTCCGCACAGAATTCTTCACACACTTTTCGTGATAATGACCGGAATCCGAAGAAAGAAATACCAGAAATACCATGACAAATTATCCCAAAGCGTTTTGAAATGTTTTGAAGTATTTCTAAGATCTTCCAAGATCTTCTCAGTGAATTGCCCCATCGCTGGCTTTTGTATCTTCTCCAATATCTTGATCTAAGGCATCATTGCACCCAGTGATCGGCATAGCTTCGAATGCTGGAGATCTTGCAGAATGTGGGAAAACTATGGAAAACTGATTGGCATTGCAGTCTTATACATCCCTCCAGTCATTGCAAGGCACCTATCAAAGCTTGAAGGTCGCCACTGGTGGGAGGATCCTGCATGCTTCGTGAAAAGGCTTCAACGGGGATTACTTGGAATACAGCTACCAAAGAGAAAAGAAAGCCATCCTTCATCTGAATCTACAAGTGGCTGCCTTTTTCCCCTCCGCAGACTGCTCACATAATTGCTACGCCAACCAAATTTTTGTTTGTAGGGCGGGATTCGCTAATCTCAAGGCATTATTCTTGCTGGAACCAAACTTTCCAAACCAAATGCTTTCAACTGCCCAACTACATCAAATCTCTCCCGTTATCCATCGATTTGCTAAAGCATATCCAGGTCTTGTCGAAGCTGCGCCAAAGTGTCCTCAAAATCCATGAAGTCCACCACCAATTGCAAGTCCTGCAGAGTTCCACAGAGGTTTTGTTCACTGTGTACGTGCTCGCATTTGTGCTCGCGAGTGGATCCTGCAGTGTGAAGGTGCTCGTGTTCGCAGTGTCGGTGTTCGCAAACATCTCCTTTACCTGCCCAGAATAAATGAAAATCGGTGAATCTAGTGACAATATAACATTATATAACGATTGGGGACGGGTAGGAACACTTTGCGCTACACTTTGGGGCGGGAACTGCTGTTCACGAAGAGTTTATATCGGTTTGTGCATCGCAACTTCTTGGGGCACAGCATGATCGGCCTTCAGATTGTGGCTTTCAAGCCAATCGTCAATGGCCTGAGTCATGGAATCCATTGCAAACGCACTCTGCAAATCTCTGCAAATCTCAACTTTCCAAGGCTTGGCACAAGCTGTGACAAGCTGTGACAAGAACACAGTCTGACCATGCTCTCAGCTTGCAGCCGTCAAAATCAAGCAACTCCGCGTTTCGGCTTCAGTCATGCTGGCAGGCTCCTTGCTCATCCACGCCAGGTGTGGCTTCAACCACTTGTGGTGGTAAAGGAGGCCTTCTTCCGAGTTGACCATCGTCTTCCTGCAGGTAGTCACCAGAGATGATGTGATCAATGTGATCCATCACTATCCGGTTCAGATGCAGCCCCTGCTTCAAAGAGAATCTAGGCACAGTTGGAAGTGGACTCGACCAGGGATATTTCATGATATTTCCTTACCTGCTCGACATGTTTTTCCACTCCCCAGCATCTGTTGGCGGCCAGCAGCTCGTGGCTGTGTCTGAGGCAAGAGCTTTCGTGTCTTGCGCGGAGCCATGATGACACTGTTGGTTCTGGGCTCAGCAGCCTGAGGTGCCTAAGGAGCTGTGCTCGAAGCTGTTGAAAATTCATCCACGGCAATGGCCATTCTATGGCCAATGTCAGCTCAAAAGAAAATCATCACATTCATATCTAGACATATCTGATATAATAAAAATAGAGAGAGAGACGGTATTATTCATGATATGGGTATGGGTCAAAATTAGGTACCCCAAAATTATGGATGGTTAATACTAAACTAGACTAACAAATTTCATGTTCATTGATTCATTCATTACAAGAGCATTGCTGACATGTCAGCATGTCTCCATGTCTCCATGCCATCGCATTGCTCACCTGGCTGTCTCCGTCAGTAACCCACACAGCAATCTCCCAGGGAGACGACTTGTGATTCCGCGTTGTACAGCCACTGGATGGTCTTAAAATCCACCTCAGAATGAACAGATCCCAAAGATTGCCTGGGACCTTAACGGTTTGGAATTCTAGAATAGTTTGAATAGTTCGTCGCCGCAAACTGAAGTCTCACAAGGGGACTCGCTTTGTAACATGTTGTAGACTCTGGTCTCAAGAATGTCACAGATGTCTTGGCAAAACCTAGATTTGTAAGAGCTGCGTTGCACATAGGATCGATAAATGATGATTAATCATGATTAATCATTGATTCATCGATATTACGTGTCGTAGCAGCGACTTTAAGATCTTCAAGCCTCTTGTCGCCTCTTGTTGATTGGAATGTCCGTGCGATGTGCCGTTTTTCGTGCGCCACCTTGTGGGGAAAAAGCCCGAAGTCAGCGGCGAAGCGGACCAAAGCAGACAAAGACATGTGCCTGAGCCGGAAAAGATCGGGAAAGACTTGCCTTCGCATGGTCAATGGAATGTCAATGGAGTCAATTTGAGATGGTCAAAAACAAAGACTGCAGCTATAGCAGCTAGAAGCTGCTGCGGTGCTCGAAATCATTCATTCCACTGCATAGATGGCTCAAAGAGCCCCATTTTGGGATGCTACAGCATGGGATACATCCACTTTCTCAGCGCGTTCTGAGTGAACCGCCCCTGGCCAGTGGCCAAAGGTATATCCGCCTCAGGAACTCAGATGCTGCGAGTTTTCGCTTCGTGTCACCGGTTTGCAGCCTGGTTCGTACATCCATGGCCAAAATGGAGGGAGATCCCCTGTAAATAACCGTTCTGATGGGGGGTGGACATTAATCTATATAATATTGCTTTTAGGAGTCATGTCCCCTAAATTTTTGGGCACCAAACCCTATGACAAGTTGAAGCCACAACCTCAAGGATAGGTCAGCTGACATAGGCTTTGAAGATGACCCGGAAGAGCTGGCTGGTTTGCGACATGAAGCGCAACACCTGGCTGAGCTCCCACCCCCGGTCGTTTCAGGTGGATTTTTTAGGTGAATCAAGAAGTAAAATTATCCCTTTTCCTCAAAATGTGATCTATCATGTATCTATTCGGTTGGAGCAAGCCTACTAAAGGGTCCAAGCATGCGCTTGCTGCAAAGTTGGAGACAGTTGCACATTGCATGTGGCGAATTGTGCTGATTTCAACAGATTGACACAATTCTGCCCCCAGCCTCGGGCTCGAAAAGGGAACTCCCCAAGTTCTCACTCTTCACCTGCAACCTCAGATCAACTGAGATCATCTCAGATCATCTCAGATCCCAAGAAAAAAGGAACATGCAAATCACTTGAAGTCCATTGAAATCCTGGCAATTTTAAGGTCCAGGGTCGTAGCTCTTGCATCCAAAAGTCTTTGCCTTCTTCTTTCGGCTCTTCAACCTCTGCAAGAAGCTAAGAGCCCAAACAGTTCCTGATTTCAAGTTTGCATTGTTGTCCCTACGTCCTATATCTTCTGTGAGTGCCTATATTGATTTTCCTGATTTTTTCAGTTGCCAGAATACTTTACACAAACTTTTGGTAATCAGTAATGAGCTAACAACAAGCTGACTGGCGGTGAGGCCGCATCACAGCCACACACATTCACCCATCCACGGTCCCCCGACATCTGTCCGAGGTGTGCATACCCGCGGATCCTGCAATCCCGCCCGATCCGCCCGATCCCCACTCTGGCAGTTTGGAATTCACAATTTGACCCGAGTGGACTCATGCCTGTTCAAACCCCAATTGGAACTTGGAACTCTCTTGGGGTCCGCATGCAAAACAAAGGGGGGTTTTGCAGTCCAGGCCTTGTTCGGAGTACTGGGAGTATGAGCACGACCTCAGATTTATAGATGTTGTCTTGCCCTCCAGTTCTTGCAAACGAAATCATCAAACGAAACAAATTGTATAAATCATCTGATAATCAACAAGAATTTCCCGACACTGGAATGTGCATTTGTTGTATGTTGACGCAAGACCTCTGGAAACGTCCCCAATCCATTGGTGTCACATCTTAGCGACAAAGGTCCAGACTCCTTGGGTACTTCGGCGTCCTTGCCTCAGCTCATGGCAATCGGAAATTCCCTGTGAATGGGCATTTTAATGATCTTTAATGATCTTTATATAGAGGGAATGTATTGTATTGGGAAATATCATCTGTGAATGGGAGATTTACCAAAATGGTGTTGCTGTCAGCAGTTTAATGTTCAAAAGGCGCGGGACATGTACTTGTGCGAGGCTATGCTGCAAGTGAAGGGTCAGCGAGTCAAATGCATGAACATTGGCACAGTCGTGGACTTCTCCAAAACCTAAAACCATAGTGGGCTGCAAAAACTGTTTTCTGAAAACAAACACCATTCAAACTATATAAAGTGTTCCCGTGCCATATATGTCAGCTAATGGCTATAGGTGACTCCGTGACAGCTGCAAGCCCTGATCACGTCCCACGAGAGGTTTTGTTTCTCGGAGCCAAGGTCAAGATCTTCACCGCCTTTCAAGTTCGACCACTTCAGTCTGACGCTCGTCTCACTACGATTGAGTCGTTTCGCGATCGCTGGCCAACTCCAGCGCTTCGCCGGATCTTTCATGCGGCGAAGTAAAGTCACTTCCTCATCCGACCATGGTGCTTCAGCCTCTGGCGCAGCTTCACTGGCTGCGGCTGGTTCCTGGCCGAGCAAACAGCGAGTAGCCTTTGATGTCTTAAAGTTCTTAAGGAAAACGGTAGTTGAATGTCGTGTGAAATCATAATCCCACATGATCCTATACCAAAGCAATCTTACATTATCATAGATTGTGCGCTTGGGCTGTAAGGCAGCGCCTCAGAAGACTTCGCCGGTCTTTTTGAGGGACCGCTTTTTGCGTCCGGCGCATTGATCATTGCATCAGCTTTTCGTTTGCCTTTTGGTGGCTGGTGTCGACCAGCTTCATCTGGCACCTGACACGCAAAACAATGCTTGGGAATCGACTCAGACTGCAATTCAGGTTTCACAAGCTGTTCGCATCACAGAGGCATTTGCACTTGTTTTTTTTCCTGCAGTGCTTCCCACAATTGCCGATGTCCTCCGACCCTACAGGAAGTCTCAGATTATCTGATTCCTATCCCCAGTGCTAAAAGAAATGCCCCTTGGAGATGCACCAACATACGCATGACTCTCAATGTTTCACGCCTTCTCTCCACGTGCAGCTTTTCTGGCAAGTTCTTCGAGTTCAGGTGCGATGGCCTCCTTAAAGGTAGCTGCTGGTAATTGGTATCCCAGCTCTGTCAAAAACGCTCGCATCAGCGCAGGGGTCTCTTCATAGGAAGCTGTGCCCATGCTATAAAGAACCACTGCATAGCGAGTGCCTCGGAACTCTTTGGTCCCGTGCCAATGGCGGCTGCCATCAAACTTCACCAGCTGGTTTCGGACCACGTGAATTTCCTCTGAGCCCTGCTCATCTTCGATGAAGAGCTCCTCGCTTCAGCAAGCTAGGTCAAACAATCTGGAGGTGAGAAATCAAAACCTGTGTGCACAAGGCCAAATTAAATGAGGAAAGAAGAGCAAAAATTATTGAAAACGATTAAAGACCGAAAGTGGTTTTTGTGTGTTCTTGTCCAATACTTTTACAGCAAGCCACCCCTCCGGTATGGTCACCAAGGGTGAAGATCAAGCTGAACCTTGGAGGCAAAAAATGGAGTTTCTCAGTTGCTCACCAACATTTTGCAAAATGCAAAACTGTGGGAGAAAGGGCCAAAACTCAGTGAAGCTACAAATCCCTGTGCCAACGCATCAAGAAACCCGGTGTTCTTCTTGTCTTTGTGACGCTTTGTCCGTAGGTTCTTGGTGATCTGGATAGAAGTATAAGTAAAGCCAGTGAGATCAATGCCCTGTTCCCGGGCACGCACCTGCACATACGCAAAGATGAGCTGCTGTAGCCGCAAGTGTTGATACGTCTCCTTGCCGGCCATTGGGATATGGCGCCAGTGACCTGAAGTCACCAAGCCCAAAGCCATCTGCAGCGTCACCTTCTCTCCATCTAGCCGCACATTCTTGCGGCTAGAGGTGCGAAGCTGGTCCTCAGGGATTTGCTGCAACTCCTTGTGAATGAGCTCCAGAAGTTTGGCGCTGGAAGTTGGTGGTTGCAACGAACCAAGCGCTGTCGCTGCTGTCGCCCCAGATAAGAGCGCCATTTGGCTTCGGGCAAAACGTGCGCCCATCTCAACTCGGTTCTCTGGGAGGAGCAATCGGTCTTGGGACGCCTGGCCAATTCGATAGCTAAAGGCACTGAACATCACTGAACCGAGGACACATCTGTCTGGAGTACAAGGGTGTCGGAGCCGCAGGACTGTCATTGATAGTTGGTTTGATGGACAGTCTACAGCAAAACCCTTAATTTGATGGGAAAAAAAAAAACATCGTTTCTTGGGCTTCATAAGCCAAAGGTATGGACTTGAGAAACTACCGCTATGTCTCTAACTCCAGGCCTGCGTGTCCCACTCCTTTCCAATGGAGACCTGCGAGGTCATTGTGCCGTGTGAAGTGCAGCTATTTTCTTCAAGGCCGATAGCTGATTCGACGACCGTGTCCATTTTTTTCTTTCCTGCTTTCCATCCCATTTTCGCAATCAAAAGGTTCAACTTCCCGTGCGTAGTAAATCAGCAAGGGGGAAAAAACATCCAGTGGCAAGCGGCCCTCCCAGTCAGCGCAGCCCCGGGCCACGCCTCCTCCAACACTCTTTCGGCAATCTCTCGCTGCTCTGGGTCGGGGGACTCGTCGTCTGATATGTCGATATTCCCTACCTTCAGATTCTAAATCTTGTCAAATGAGGAGACATTGAGACACTTCATCAAATTTAAGTTCGCATTCCTGTGACATTTCGACTACCACAGTAGGACCGAAAAACCGAAAGAAATGAGTAAGTCATGTTCTCAAAGACATCCTTTTTGAGCATGTCCCTTCGGTTTAAAAGGCCTTCTGGAGTTGCTAAAAGGTGTCTGTTTCCTTTTGCTGCGTTCGAAGAAAAGTTGCCATCTATTGAAAATCTATTGTATTCTATCTTCTCCAAAATCAACACGGCGGCTCTGATGCAATGTTTGAAAACGCCATTTAAGTGAAAGTCCTCTGACAATCCAACAGTCTACGCGTTTCAAAAGAATGCTCCTGCCTGCTCCTTCACGGCTCCAAGATCTCCAAGGGTCTGTCCAGATGGTGGCCCTGCATTGGGATCCCCAAAGTCCTGAGCCGAAGGCGAATCCAGTGGACAGCGGGTCAGATTCGCAAGACATGGATGAGGGACGACCTTAGGACGACCTTGATTGGGAAACCTTTAAACCTTTGCACACATCAAGTAACATTGGAATACATTGGAGACATGAGTAATCATCAGATATCATTGATATCATCAGTATGTATCATGGCATGTGATATATATATATATGTATATGATTCTATGATATATCATATGGCATGTATATCTTCTATCATGGCATATCATGGCAAAGCACATCATGTGCTCGTAGAATTTCCTCCTCGTCAGCGTCGTCATCTGGCACTGTGGCTGGGATTTCATCCTGCAACCGAGACTGGGTTGCCACCGCTTCTCGTCATAGTTGGAAACGAAATCCTACTTAACAGAAACATAGTGTCACATTTCACTTGCAGCAGTGAAAGAGTTACCAGGAAGGTTAATAATGGTGTTCTTCCTGAAGTTGTCTTGATCTGTCTTGTCGTTGCCAATCATGTCTGGTATGAAATGGGTTGCTTCGAGAAAATCTAAGGACTTTTTGTGGATGATGGGGAGATACGGGCTTGTCAAAACATAGGTTTCTTCAAAATCCTGTGGTTTATATTGGTTTATCATAATTTTCTCATTGGAATAGCAATCTTGGAGCATCCCCCATTTTCAAGCAAACATGTAATATGGCTGCTGCCACCCATCAAAACAAGCAGGATCTGATCGAAGGGGCCTTCACAACTCCTGCAGTTTGGGAAGCGACTTGGGAAGCCACTTCCTTCATCATTGCGGTGAGTTTTGAAAGTTGCTCCTGCACAAGGCCCTGCGATGCGGCTGGGACAAAAACCACACATGGGTTTAAAATGGTTTAAATGCCCAATGTTTAAGTTATAAATTATATACATAATATATATAATATATAATATATAATATATATATATATACATATATTGTATATATTATTATATATATATATTACATTTATTACATATATTACATATGTCATATACATTATATATATTGTATATATTATATATGTATTATATATTATATATAATATAATATAATATAATATAATATAATATAATTTAATATAATATAATATAATATATATTATATGTAATATATGTAATATATGTAATATATGTAATATATGTAATATATGTAGCATATGTAATATATGTAATATATGTAATATATGTAATATATGTAATATATGTAATATATGTAATATATGTAATATATGTAATATATGTAATATAATATATATATATATAATTAATATAATATATATATATAAATAAATAAATTAATCAGCATTTTCACCATGGCCTTTCCGAGGTATCCCCATTTCCAGGCAGACCCACATGTGATTTGATTCCTACACACACGACAGTTCTTCACTTTGTTTTCAATCAAGTTGTTTATTCCACGGTTCATTTGCTGCCACTAAGAGCAGTTTGGAGGCCAGGCTGACTACAGTACCATGGACATCAGCTTGTCTATCAGCATCCAGATAGCGGCGATGTAGGTAGCTACTCGTTGTTTCCAGAAGTCTGTAGAGGCCAAAAAGTAGTACAAAAACAAATCAACTTCAACACAAGTAGCATCTGTTTCAGTTCCAGCGGAAGTTTTGCATGCCTCAGCCCTTCACTAATCATAACCAACCACATTTGCTGTGAGAATCAATTGTGGAATACACCCTCCAAGTTGTTCAACCGCGCCACTTGACGCCAGTGGACGTCTTAAAAAGCCAAGCCGCCAGCTTCTCGTCGAGGCGAGCCTCCATTTGCTGCATAAGGGGGGCGCACTGACCTAAGCTTGACCACGGAGCAAGAGGTGTTTCAAGAATTGGAACACCGCTGGAGGATGCTGGAGGTATGAACGGCTCTGACCAAGATGTATAGATCGTTCTTGGGTATAGATGGAGAATGCAAGCATCAGTCAAATCCATACAAATATGTCTGCAATCCATTCGCTAAGATGACAGACATTGTGAAGTGCTGTTGTCAGCACTCCTTGGTTGTTTTTTCGTCACCTGCTCTTGCCTGACCGATTGCAAGACGAATGGATAGGGATGACGGGGTAGATTGGCCTGAAAGGTGCCAACGCGCAGCTTGCGCAAGCATGCTATGGAGAATGAAGGTTTATTGCTGTCGAACGGCACTGGCATTGTGGTTTGCCTACAAAGCCAGATGTCCAAAACATCTTCAAAGACGTCTGCATAGCGCGTCTGTACAAAGTGCAGCGGAAAAAAAACAAAGCCGAAATGGCTGCAAAAGGCGAGCAGAATCATCGACAGTCGCAGCTCCATTCTTTTGAACGAAAGGCCAGCATGAAGAATGTATTGTGTGTGTATTTGCATCAACAAATGAAGTGGGTAGTCCTTTCTGCTCCGAAAATGTATTTGGTTGCTCAATCAAGAGCGACGAAATGTAGCCGCTAGCCTTTGTACCTCATCAATCCTTATCATCATTTCCTTCTGCCTCTTCAACCCTTCGGTTGCGACACTCTTGGTTCCGTAGACACTCTTGGTTCCGTACCACAGGCAGCAATCGAGATCGATCCTCGGAAAAAGCTGCTGAGTAGCAAAGGCTGGGCACAGAACTGAAGCATTTCCAAAAAGACAGCCGGAATCCAACCAAAAAGACGAGCTACTTCCCTTGTCTCAGAGAAGTAGTCGACAAGTCAACCATGCGCCACTCTGGACATACCCGGCCTGCAGGTGCAGCTCTTTCGCCCTCTCTTTGGCTTCCTTTAGCTCTTTCAACTCCTGCTCCTTGATATCTTTTGGCTTTGCCTAACAGAGGTTCACACACACCAAGCTTCAGTGAAATTTATAAATTAATCGCCAACGAGGTCCGCAACGGGTCAGGATGAAGAGCGACAGCCGTCCACAAATCTTGTCATGTTCAATGCAACCTAGACCACTTTGATCCATTTTGCAGTACGGTACCCAATTTTGAGCGGTGGCCCAGCCTCTCTCTTCTCCAACCACTGCTTGATGTGGCTGGCTTGCTGGTTGATATGCGCCAGTCGACTAGCAGCGTATTTTCCAGCCTCCCAAAACACCAGACAGACTGATGTGTTCAGCAATTACGCAAGGTGAAACATTGGGGCACCACCTGACTCGCATGCATGCTTGTAGACCTCCAAGCCCACATTGCTTTGCATTATCTTCAGTAATTCTACACTAGACCCCAGGGCCCCTCTAGCTCTACTTCACCCGCGCCTGCGGCAAAAGCCTAAAAAATACCCGATCACGAGCTTGGAACTCTGCCCGACCTGACGTGTGCTTTCACTACCTTCCCTGTCCTTTGACGACCAGGACGGCAAACTGCAATGGCACGCTCTCTGTCTCGGCCTCGCTGCGCAACCACGTCGAAGTCAAGGCCTCGATCAAAGTCTGGGACAATGTCCTGGCGCTAAAAAACAGTGGACGAAGGAGGGACAATGCCTGATAGATCTGATAGGGTACCCCAAATTTTGATAGTTTATCAGTTTATCATCATTTTCGTTCATTTTATGTTCATTCATTTTCCACATTGTTGCCATGTTGACTTTTTCCCCATGTTCATCCATTTTCACACATACCCAAATCATCCCAAGTCTCTGTGCTCTCTCTTCTGGTTCCCACACAAAAAAGAATAAAAACTGCCCAACTGGCCTGCACAATCTTGGAGAAGAGTCGGGCCATGGGTGTATTCTCCACCCCTGGTGACCTCACATGGTTTGAACATCGCTGGCATTTCAACAATGCTGGCGACCTAACACTGGGACATCTACAGGTTGCAAAATATGCAGAACGAATCACAATCAACAGAGATGAGTCATGATGAAATCAGCTTTCCTCTCAGAGTCCTTTCACTTCTGGAAGATAAAAATAAACACATTTGAACCCGGTTGCAAGTTGAGCCGATCACCGACAGTCCAGCAGTACGATCCCAGAGGTCGTTGTTGCACTGCCTTTGACCTGAACTTTCAGCAAAGGCAACCGGAATCTGACCATATGGGGGGTTCTGAAATGGGGGATCCCCAAAAACCATAGGTTTCAACACTAAAATGGTTCAATTTAGGATGATTTGGGGGGAACCCCATTTCAGGAAACCCTCTACATGTATCTTCTAACCCTCTACATGTATCTTCTAACCATATCTGACCTCAACCAGCAAAGCTCCAACGACCCACTTGGTCCAAAAAAGTTTGGTGCCCGCACCAACACCTCCTCCGCTAAGCTGTCAAAATGTCGAGCTGCTCGACCTTAGAAATCCCTTGCCCTTGGATGTTGCTGAACAAACTTCGATTGGATTTTCAATCCGTGGATGTGTGGATATCCATGGATTTTCATGTTGTTCAAACAGTTCAAACCTCACTTTGCTGCCTCAAGTCTGTGCAGCCGAGCAAAGTCGGGGATGACTGCCGTCAACTGAAGCAAACCCCTGGAAAGGTTTGAGCTCGTCAGTACGAGAGTCCAAGCATGAAAAGGCTCATTGTCGGCATCGTCAAGAGCACAGGAAATATGGTAAATGGATAAATGGATGTGCCTGAAAATCGGGGTATGCGCACATGAATTGCATTCTAATAGGGAAAATGTGTATTCCCTGATTTTCAGACCCACTCAACTCATACTGCATTAGTTAATGATGTTCTCTTGCAAAACTGACGCAAGGGCTGCCTGCGCAGCACACGCCAAATGGCAAAATGTCTGCCTGCAAAAAGGGAACAAGATCACGCAGAAAGCTGTAAGGCAAGAAATGAACGAGCTTGTTTGGAACATTTTGGAACACATCGGATCAATTGGCTGCCAAAATCTGCCAAATGCCCCCCTATTTCTGGAAACAAAGGCAAAGTGAAAAGAAATTCGGCGTAAGGTCCATCTGTGTATTCTCATGTTATCAGATGATATCAGGTTAGCAACTGAATGCAACTGATATATTCAGTGATGTCTGCGCTCCTGCTCATCACAGGAGCATCAACATTACCTGCCCAAGTGCCAAGGACATGGAAAGTGTGAAAAGTGTGGGGTGCCCAAAAATCTGGTGAACGATACTTGTCCCTCTTTATGTGCCCCATTTCCAGACACGCTCATTTATCCTGAAGGGAATCATCAGTTGACACAGTGTCCATGCCTATTATGCCTTCAGGCGTTGTGAGTGCCTTGGCTCTGCACAGGAATCAAAAATCACGCTCATCCTGGAGAGTTTTGTCTCAACCTTAACATCCTTCAGTTGCCTGCACTTCTAAGAAGGGATTTTCTCAAAAGGATTCAGATCCCAATTTTCCCCAGCTTGGCATCTTGCGCAAAACAGGTTGCAGACTCGGTAGGCTTCCTGGCAGGTTTCTCTGAACAGCTTGGTTTCCATCGAATTTAAAGATTCTTTTCAGGGGCGACAGCTTGCAGCCTGATCCAGCAACAAAAGTTGTTGTTGAGCCTCCCAAAACTAGCACTTTGTTAATTTCCCCGTTTCAAAACGCCGCCAACAGCACATGCGTTCAAATATTCGAACTCCGAATACCGTAGCCAAGCCCAAGGCCCCAAGCCTGAATATCGGAATGCTCCAACACAATCTCGTGCACCACTTCATGTGAGACAGCACTGGAGCGTCGAGCTATGGCTGTCCTGAATAGGTCCAAAAAAACTACTCCCACCAAACCTCCAAACCACAAGAATCAGTGCCCAAAGCTGTTCGTGGGATTAGAATTGTGTATCTGTCCATGAAGACACGGAGCATGCTAAGTCATCAGATGTACGCCCGGCAAGTGTGTTTTTCATTTGCTCCAGAGGTTCCCGCCTCGTCAAGAAACTAGTACAGATGTCTGTAACTATTGACTATACATTTATAAAAAGTGTTCTGTTAAAGCATATTGAAGCAATGTCAAATCTTCAAGATTCATAATGCTGATGGTCTTTACCTTCAGCGCTGGGAAGCCTCAACAACATCTTTGAAGGTGTAGAAACCCTTGGCAGCAGCCACTGCATCCAATGGATTCACCTTTGAAAACATGTTGTTGGGGACGCTGGAATCAACGACCTTGGCCATCGAATTGTACACATCCATCACAGTGGACTTGGGCACGGATGCCACCAAGCGCCCAATGGCTGCATTCACAGCTTCGTAGTCGGCCGCGGACGTCACGCCGGTGGCATCAATACTGCCAATGGCCTTGTGGTGTGCCTCTGCTGCTGCCTTCAAGAGGTTGCCATCCATCTTGGCACCCATCACGATCATCTTGTCAATGGCTTGCAGCGTCTCTGGGGCAGTCTTGCCGGGCAGGGGCTTCAGGTAAACGTCCGACAGCCAATCGATGTCCTTGATGAAAGGATAGGATGCATCGGACAACGCTTTTGCAGCTTCACCAATTTTGTCTCCGGAAGGCACAACTGCAGGAGCACTGGCAGTGGCCACCTGGTTCTTTTCAACAACATCCTTGAATTCCAGGAATCCTTGATAGGCCTTCTCGGCATCGGGTCCGTTCACCAAGGACTTCATGTAAGCTGGCACTCCGGGGTCCGTGATGGCTTTCACTGAATCATAAACAGCCATGACCTTTGCTTTGGGGACTGAAGCGATTACACGGCCAAGGGCTGCATTCACGGCATCCCAGTCAGCGCGCGAAGTCACACCATTTGGCCCGCTGATGCTCCCAATGGCCTTGTGATGTGCTTCTGCTGCCTCCTTCAGAAGCTTTGGATCTGCGGCTGCCCCCATTTCGATCATCTTGTCAATGGCTTTCAAAGCTTCCAAGGGCTGAAACTTGCCAGGGGCCTGCAGGAAAATGCCATTGTTCCAGTCCACTTCCTTGGCAAAAGAGTAGGAAGCATCCCCAAGCTTCTTTGCAGCATCGCCGATCTCATCAGCAAAAGCCGCAGGAGCCATCATCATGCTGGCTGCTGCTGCGGCCACTGGAGCAGCATGCCGAGGCCCAGGCACAAAAGTCAAGTGCCGCTGGAGACAGCATGCAGCAGCCACCGCAACTCCGACAGCAATAGCTTTCCTTGCTCCACGCGCCATGGCCACCAAAGTTCAAAAGTCTTTAAGTGGGCCGGAGTTGGTCAAAAATTAGCCTCTAAAACTGGCTTGAGCCAAAGTAAGTTGCATGATATTCCCATTTAGAGGGAAAAAACATGTCTTCAAATCCCCAAAAGCACCGGAATCAGTCCCCAAAGCTGTTCGTGGGATTAGAATTGTGTATCTGTCCATGAAGACACGGAGCATGCTAAGTCATCAGATGTACGCCCGGCAAGTGTGTTTTTTCATTTGCTCCAGAGGTTCCCGCCTCGTCAAGAAACTAGTACAGATGTCTGTAACTATTGACTATACATTTATAAAAAGTGTTCTGTTAAAGCATATTGAAGCAACGTCGAATCTTCAAGATTCATGCTGATGGTCTTTACCTTCATCGCTGGGAAGCCTCAACAACATCTTTGAAGGTGTAGAAACCCTTGGCAGCAGCCACTGCATCCAATGGATTCACCTTTGAAAACATGTTGTTGGGGACGCTGGAATCAACGACCTTGGCCATCGAATTGTACACATCCATCACAGTGGACTTGGGCACGGATGCCACCAAGCGCCCAATGGCTGCATTCACAGCTTCGTAGTCGGCCGCGGACGTCACGCCGGTGGCATCAATACTGCCAATGGCCTTGTGGTGTGCCTCTGCTGCTGCCTTCAAGAGGTTGCCATCCATCTTGGCACCCATCACGATCATCTTGTCAATGGCTTGCAGCGTCTCTGGGGCAGTCTTGCCGGGCAGGGGCTTCAGGTAAACGTCCGACAGCCAATCGATGTCCTTGATGAAAGGATAGGATGCATCGGACAACGCTTTTGCAGCTTCACCAATTTTGTCTCCGGAAGGCACAACTGCAGGAGCACTGGCAGTGGCCACCTGGTTCTTTTCAACAACATCCTTGAAATCCAGGAATCCTTGGTAGGCCTTCTCGGCATCGGGTCCGTTCACCAAGGACTTCATGTAAGCTGGCACTCCGGGGTCCGTGATGGCTTTCACTGAATCATAAACAGCCATGACCTTTGCTTTGGGGACTGAAGCGATTACACGGCCAAGGGCTGCATTCACGGCATCCCAGTCAGCGCGCGATGTCACACCATTTGGCCCGCTGCTGCTCCCAATGGCCTTGTGATGTGCTTCTGCTGCCTCCTTCAGAAGCTTTGGATCTGCGGCTGCCCCCATTTCGATCATCTTGTCAATGGCTTTCAAAGCTTCCAGGGGCTGAAACTTGCCAGGGGCCTGCAGGAAAATGCCATTGTTCCAGTCCACTTCCTTGGCAAAAGAGTAGGAAGCATCCCCAAGCTTCTTTGCAGCATCGCCGATCTCATCAGCAAAAGCCGCAGGAGCCATCATCATGCTGGCTGCTGCTGCGGCCACTGGAGCAGCATGCCGAGGCCCAGGCACAAAAGTCAAGTGCCGCTGGAGACAGCATGCAGCAGCCACCGCAACTCCGACAGCAATAGCTTTCCTTGCTCCACGCACCATGGCCACCAAAGTTCAAAAGTCTTTAAGTGGGCCGGAGTTGGTCAAAAATTAGCCTCTAAAACTGGCTTGAGCCAAGTAAGTTGCATGATATTCCCATTTAGAGGGAAAAAACGTGTCTTCAAATCCCCAAAAGCAGCGGAATCAGTCCCCAAAGCTGTTCGTGGGATTAGAATTGTGTATCTGTCCATGAAGACACGGAGCATGCTAAGTCATCAGATGTACGCCCGGCAAGTGTGTTTTTTCATTTGCTCCAGAGGTTCCCGCCTCGTCAAGAAACTAGTACAGATGTCTGTAACTATTGACTATACATGTATAAAAAGTGTTCTGTTAAAGCATATTGAAGCAACGTTGAATCTTCAAGATTCATGCTGATGGTCTTTACCTTCAGCGCTGGGAAGCCTCAACAACATCTTTGAAGGTGTAGAAACCCTTGGCAGCAGCCACTGCATCCAATGGATTCACCTTTGAAAACATGTTGTTGGGGACGCTGGAATCAACGACCTTGGCCATCGAATTGTACACATCCATCACAGTGGACTTGGGCACGGATGCCACCAAGCGCCCAATGGCTGCATTCACAGCTTCGTAGTCGGCCGCGGACGTCACGCCGGTGGCATCAATACTGCCAATGGCCTTGTGGTGTGCCTCTGCTGCTGCCTTCAAGAGGTTGCCATCCATCTTGGCACCCATCACGATCATCTTGTCAATGGCTTGCAGCGTCTCTGGGGCAGTCTTGCCGGGCAGGGGCTTCAGGTAAACGTCCGACAGCCAATCGATGTCCTTGATGAAAGGATAGGATGCATCGGACAACGCTTTTGCAGCTTCACCAATTTTGTCTCCGGAAGGCACAACTGCAGGAGCACTGGCAGTGGCCACCTGGTTCTTTTCAACAACATCCTTGAATTCCAGGAATCCTTGATAGGCCTTCTCGGCATCGGGTCCGTTCACCAAGGACTTCATGTAAGCTGGCACTCCGGGGTCCGTGATGGCTTTCACTGAATCATAAACAGCCATGACCTTTGCTTTGGGGACTGAAGCGATTACACGGCCAAGGGCTGCATTCACGGCATCCCAGTCAGCGCGCGAAGTCACACCATTTGGCCCGCTGATGCTCCCAATGGCCTTGTGATGTGCTTCTGCTGCCTCCTTCAGAAGCTTTGGATCTGCGGCTGCCCCCATTTCGATCATCTTGTCAATGGCTTTCAAAGCTTCCAGGGGCTGAAACTTGCCAGGGGCCTGCAGGAAAATGCCATTGTTCCAGTCCACTTCCTTGGCAAAAGAGTAGGAAGCATCCCCAAGCTTCTTTGCAGCATCGCCGATCTCATCAGCAAAAGCCGCAGGAGCCATCATCATGCTGGCTGCTGCTGCGGCCACTGGAGCAGCATGCCGAGGCCCAGGCACAAAAGTCAAGTGCCGCTGGAGACAGCATGCAGCAGCTACCGCAACTCCGACAGCAATAGCTTTCCTTGCTCCACGCACCATGGCCACCAAAGTTCAAAAGTCTTTAAGTGGGCCGGAGTTGGTCAAAAATTAGCCTCTAAAACTGGCTTGAGCCAAGTAAGTTGCATGATATTCCCATTTAGACGGAAAAAAGCATGTCTTCAAATCCCCAAAAGCACCGGAATCAGTCCCCAAAGCTGTTCGTGGGATTAGAATTGTGTATCTGTCCATGAAGACACGGAGCATGCTAAGTCATCAGATGTACGCCCGGCAAGTGTGTTTTTTCATTTGCTCCAGAGGTTCCCGCCTCGTCAAGAAACTAGTACAGATGTCTGTAACTATTGACTATACATTTATAAAAAGTGTTCTGTTAAAGCATATTGAAGCAACGTCGAATCTTCAAGATTCATGCTGATGGTCTTTACCTTCATCGCTGGGAAGCCTCAACAACATCTTTGAAGGTGTAGAAACCCTTGGCAGCAGCCACTGCATCCAATGGATTCACCTTTGAAAACATGTTGTTGGGGACGCTGGAATCAACGACCTTGGCCATCGAATTGTACACATCCATCACAGTGGACTTGGGCACGGATGCCACCAAGCGCCCAATGGCTGCATTCACAGCTTCGTAGTCGGCCGCGGACGTCACGCCGGTGGCATCAATACTGCCAATGGCCTTGTGGTGTGCCTCTGCTGCTGCCTTCAAGAGGTTGCCATCCATCTTGGCACCCATCACGATCATCTTGTCAATGGCTTGCAGCGTCTCTGGGGCAGTCTTGCCGGGCAGGGGCTTCAGGTAAACGTCCGACAGCCAATCGATGTCCTTGATGAAAGGATAGGATGCATCGGACAACGCTTTTGCAGCTTCACCAATTTTGTCTCCGGAAGGCACAACTGCAGGAGCACTGGCAGTGGCCACCTGGTTCTTTTCAACAACATCCTTGAATTCCAGGAATCCTTGATAGGCCTTCTCGGCATCGGGTCCGTTCACCAAGGACTTCATGTAAGCTGGCACTCCGGGGTCCATGATGGCTTTCACTGAATCATAAACAGCCATGACCTTTGCTTTGGGGACTGAAGCGATTACACGGCCAAGGGCTGCATTCACGGCATCCCAGTCAGCGCGCGAAGTCACACCATTTGGCCCGCTGATGCTCCCGATGGCCTTGTGATGTGCTTCTGCTGCCTCCTTCAAAAGCTTTGGATCTGCGGCTGCCCCCATTTCGATCATCTTGTCAATGGCTTTCAAAGCTTCCAAGGGCTGAAACTTGCCAGGGGCCTGCAGGAAAATGCCATTGTTCCAGTCCACTTCCTTGGCAAAAGAGTAGGAAGCATCCCCAAGCTTCTTTGCAGCATCGCCGATCTCATCAGCAAAAGCCGCAGGAGCCATCATCATGCTGGCTGCTGCTGCGGCCACTGGAGCAGCATGCCGAGGCCCAGGCACAAAATTCAAGTGCTGCTGGACACTGCAGGCAACAGCCACCGCAACTCCGACAGGAGACAGCATGCAGCAGCTACCGCAACTCCGACAGCAATAGTTTTCCTTGCTCCACGCACCATGGCCACCAAAGTTCAAAGGTCTTTAAGTGGGCCGGAGTTGGTCAAAAATTAGCCTCTAAAACTGGCTTGAGCCAAAGTAAGTTGCATGATATTCCCATTTAGAGGGAAAAAAACATGTCTTCAAATCCCCAAAAGCAGCGGAATCAGTCCCCAAAGCTGTTCGTGGGATTAGAATTGTGTATCTGTCCATGAAGACACGGAGCATGCTAAGTCATCAGATGTACGCCCGGCAAGTGTGTTTTTTCATTTGCTCCAGAGGTTCCCGCCTCGTCAAGAAACTAGTACAGATGTCTGTAACTATTGACTATACATTTATAAAAAGTGTTCTGTTAAAGCATATTGAAGCAATGTCGAATCTTCAAGATTCATGCTGATGGTCTTTACCTTCAGCGCTGGGAAGCCTCAACAACATCTTTGAAGGTGTAGAAACCCTTGGCAGCAGCCACTGCATCCAATGGATTCACCTTTGAAAACATGTTGTTGGGGATGCTGGAATCAACGACCTTGGCCATCGAATTGTACACATCCATCACAGTGGACTTGGGCACGGATGCCACCAAGCGCCCAATGGCTGCATTCACAGCTTCGTAGTCGGCCGCGGACGTCACGCCGGTGGCATCAATACTGCCAATGGCCTTGTGGTGTGCCTCTGCTGCTGCCTTCAAGAGGTTGCCATCCATCTTGGCACCCATCACAATCATCTTGTCAATGGCTTGCAGCGTCTCTGGGGCAGTCTTGCCGGGCAGGGGCTTCAGGTAAACGTCCGACAGCCAATCGATGTCCTTGATGAAAGGATAGGATGCATCGGACAACGCTTTTGCAGCTTCACCAATTTTGTCTCCGGAAGGCACAACTGCAGGAGCACTTGCAGTAGCCACCTGGTTCTTTTCAACAACATCCTTGAATTCCAGGAATCCTTGGTAGGCCTTCTCGGCATCGGGTCCGTTCACCAAGGACTTCATGTAAGCTGGCACTCCGGGGTCCGTGATGGCTTTCACTGAATCATAAACAGCCATGACCTTTGCTTTGGGGACTGAAGCGATTACACGGCCAAGGGCTGCATTCACGGCATCCCAGTCAGCGCGCGATGTCACACCATTTGGCCCGCTGATGCTCCCAATGGCCTTGTGATGTGCTTCTGCTGCCTCCTTCAGAAGCTTTGGATCTGCGGCTGCCCCCATTTCGATCATCTTGTCAATGGCTTTCAAAGCTTCCAGGGGCTGAAACTTGCCAGGGGCCTGCAGGAAAATGCCATTGTTCCAGTCCACTTCCTTGGCAAAAGAGTAGGAAGCATCCCCAAGCTTCTTTGCAGCATCGCCGATCTCATCAGCAAAAGCCGCAGGAGCCATCATCATGCTGGCTGCTGCTGCTGCCACTGGAGCAGCATGCCGAGGCCCAGGCACAAAAGTCAAGTGCCGCTGGAGACAGCATGCAGCAGCTACCGCAACTCCGACAGCAATAGTTTTCCTTGCTCCACGCACCATGGCCACCAAAGTTCAAAAGTCTTTAAGTGGGCCGGAGTTGGTCAAAAATTAGCTAAAAATGGCTTGAGCCAAACCAATCGGCGTGATATTTCCTCTTGACAAGAAGAAATAAATCCTCTCTTCAATTTTCTCGGATGCGTTTGGAATGCTTGCATTCTGCTTAAAACTTAGCTGAGCAAAGGACGCATCTGTGGCTTGCTTGACCTCCGGGTCTGACTGAAAATTTACCACGTTAATGGAGGATCTAACCCTCCTAATAGCTATTGATTTGGAAAATATGGGAAAATATTGAACAATATATAATCCATACCGTAAGGATAGAAGATATTCCCCGAATATTTCCTGAATATATTCTATCCTTGATGACCATATTATAGGAAAATGATGGTTAACCAGTTGATTTGGGAACACCATTTTTTCAGACAACCCATTTGGATCTGAATGGCAATGGAATGAAAGTTGCCACTCCCAGCCTGCTGTCTTGTGAGCGGCAGCATCCCAGACCTAGGAACACATGAGTCATCACGTGGATGGAAAAAAAAATAACGGGTGAACAAGGTACTCATCACATTTCATTTCTTTGATTATACCCTATGACATATAGAAAACATACATCTATATATATATATATATCATATATATATATACATATATATACATAGATAGATAGATCATATATATATATACTGTAAATATAATAATATAATATAAATATAATATAATATATTATAATATAATATAATATAAATATAATATAATATAAATATAATATAATATAATATTAATATTAATATAATATAATATAATATAAATATAATATAATATAATATGATATGATATGATATAATATAATATAAATTAAATATAATATAATATAATATAATATATTATAATATAATATGATATGAATATTATATAATATAAATATAATATAAATATAATATAATATAATATATTATAATATAATATAATATGAATATTATATAATATAAATATAATATAATATAATATAGTATAATATAATATAATATAAATATAATATAATATAATATAAATATAATATAATATAATATAAATATAATATTATATGATTTTAATATAATATAATATAATATAAATATTAATATAAATATAATATAATATAATATTAATATTAATATAATATAATATAATTTAATATAATATAAATATAATATAATATAAATATTAATATAATATAATATAATATGATATGATATGATATTATATAATATAATATGATATGATATAATATAATATAATATAAATATAATATAATATAATATAATATAAATATAATATAATATAATATCTTATAATAATATAATATGAATATTATATAATATAAATATAATATAATATAATATAGTATAATATAATATAAAATAATATAAAATCGTATAAAATCATATAAAATCATATAATATGATATGATATGATATAATATAATATAATTTAATATAAATATAATATAAATATAATATAAATATAATATAATATAATATAATATAAATATAATATAATATAAATATAAAATCATATAAAATCATATAAAATCATATAAAATCATAAAATCATATATAATTTCTATATCCCAGCCGAGTCAGACTTTGGACCCGTACAGTGCAGGAGCCAAGTACTTTGAAGGGTCCGACACCGGTGAGAAGGCAGCTTGAAACCTTCGGCGGCTGTTTTCGGTACTGTTGGATCCCAGGGGCTTGAGTACATCTATATGAAAATGATTGAGAATATATACATATATATATACATAATATACATAATATATATATATATATATACTTACATTGTTATACGATAATATACGATGATATACATTGATGTATATGTTGATGGAGCTGCATAGCCAACTCTTGAAACAACTATTGGAACAACTATTGCAATCACATGTCGTGGTTCCACAGAGGTTGCATCTTTGACAACCGTTGTCTCAGTGCGGGGCCAGTGTCCATCCAGCGCCTGCTCACGGGCCAGGCGGTCCTCATTCTTTTCCCGGCCCTTGGCAGCGCACGTCGGTTTCAGCCCCAACACCATCGGATTGTTTTGATACCACAAGGGAGAACAAGAAGTCTGTGGTCGTTTTCAGTAAATGGAGCTGAGATCACTGAGATCTGATCCTCTTTGAGAAGCTTCTGGACATAAACTTTGTCCCTTGCCAAAGCAGCCTCATGCTCACCACAACGTGTGACTTCTCAGCAGTGCATTCGTGGCGTGGAATTCCAAGCCGTGGTGACATCAGGCATTGCTTTGATTTTGTTCCACAGCCGACCTCTTTGTATCTCTTGGTTTAAGCTGCCAGCATTGTGGTTTCGTTTCCGCTCCGTCATGGTGATGGTCCTGCACTGCCAAATTTTTGATTCTCTTCAACATCTCGGCAACATTTCCCCCAGGCAGCAATGGATTATCGAACCCTTGTCCTTCGGCAGTGCATCTCGGACCTGGAGTGATATTTGATTCCCCTGTCCAACCAGGCATGCTATGAGGGTGAATTTTTGGAATTCTATACGGAAAATAAGAAAGAGACAGAATGGGCAACACGTCAAACAACATCATCAAAAAGTGTTGTTTCTCAGAAGTGGTTCCACTCCGAAAAAGTAAAAAGCAATTTGGTGGTACGGGCTGTATACCCAAATTGCGTGAAGCCGAAACATCCTGGGTTTGCTTTGCGCATCCACTCAGCTGAGCGCTTCCCAAACTCGTAGTGTGTCTTCTCGTCGTCCATCTCATCCAACTGGCAGGTACGTTGTGCTCTGCTTACTTCCCATGATTCCCTCCATCAAAGGGACCCGTGAAGAAACTTGTTCAAATCAACCTGGAAGTGTAAGCCAGGAATTGGGTTTTGAAAATAGATGAAAATAGGATATCCAAATGAATCCCATGGTTTATCATTATATGGCCCGTAAAATATCAATATTTGCCACATATCACATATCCCTATCATACCCCTATTTTTGCTCAAAGCCGATCGGAAACATGCCAAGCCACAGATGCGACACTCTGCGTTGCCATTGAGTGGGTTCTGCTGAAGCTTCGTTCGCTCTTTTGCCTTTCAATACCACCTCGCTGTGACCAAAAACAAACTGAGGCAACTACCAACACAAAATCGATTTGAGGTTATCTGGATTATTCAGGATTAGATTCAGTATGGGATTCTATGGGTACATCATGTAGATATATGTAGATCATATAGTAACTATGTCAAGTGCAACTGCAGCCTGTCCAAGCAACGGGAGGCAGTACGGATCTCTGAAGCACCCTTCGAAGGCGCATGCCAGGCTCCAGGTGTCCTGCCCATGGCAAGCACAGCGGCCCATGGTGCAGCTTAGGAGCGGAAGCGGTGCCTGTCGTGGTTGGTCCGTGGGGAGCCGGGCGGAAAATATCGGAAAATGATTCGCTGATTAGCAAGATCAGTGATCTATCAAGGCAGTGAAGGCAGTGAAGGCAGTGAAGGCAAGAGATCTTGGGTCCGCCAAGTTGGGACGTGCTGATGAACGAATCTTGGGCTGGAACTTGCTCTGGAGAAGCTCCCTTTGGATAGGCTTGCATCGCCTTTCAGAATAACACGCAGTGCCCGGTTCCTACACACATTGTTCCAATCTTCGACTTGAACATGCGTGTCTCAAAGTTCTACGCAAAGAGAATTATTTTCTACACAATAGTTTCATTGAGTTTCAGTTGTCAGAATGATCCAAAACGGCTCAGGGTGCTCAGGCGCTGGCCAGCATCTGACTGTGACGCCAAAGACCTGTATTTTTCTGTTGTGAGGACATCATGAGGACATCATGAGTCATGAGGATTCGCTGTGTCGACTCTGAGATGTTCTGAGTGTCTGGCGGAAGCTTTTTGCCATGGACCCCTGTCCTCTGGATCTCTGATGAAATCCACCAGCGGTCACCAATCTGAACCTCCTGACACAATGACGAGCCAGCGCCATGACTCAAACGCAAACGTATTGGATGTATTGGATGTATTGGGAGTTGTCAGGTCTGCCTTCCCACATGTAAAACATATAGGCTATCAGGCACTGAGGCCCTAGATTCATGGCTTGCAGACAACTTCGAATCCATCACTACCTGGATCCCGGAGGTAGATCGTGGATGATCCTGGCCTCTCCGAAATTCTCCGAAACTCCCAACCAGATCAACCAGTGCCCACTCCTTCGGCAAGTCCTTGTCCGCAAAGTGTGCTCTCCAAACACCCAGGGATGGCAAGTTCTTCTTTGAAGAGACTGGCCTCAGCTGGCGACTCCGGCTCGGGCAACTCCACCAAGGGTAATTAGCTTCGATTCCCTGCTGAAGTCGGTGACGTGGCGACTTGGAAATAGTGGATCACCGGAATAATTCCAGCAGGGACTACAAAACCTATCCGCACCATGTCTCTTGTCAACGCCTACAAGAACTGGCAACAACTTTGCCGTCCGAGTTTCCTTCGACCATTGGCTGTTCCTACGCGACCATTGGCTGTTCCGACGCGTGAACTAACTGGGGTGGACAAAACCTGCAGTCAGGAAGGTTCTGGAGAATGCAGCTTTGCCTGAACATGAACATCTTTATCCTTCAGACTGATGTGAAAAAGGGCGAGACTAAATGTTGGCGACACAATGAAGGACTACCCAGAGTCATTCTCTGTCCATTTCGACTTGCTGTTTCTCAAAGGCTTGGATGTGAAAGGCCGGAAATTTTGGCATATGTGACCAGTATCTTCACCCTGCCTGTGTCTGCTGTGTCTGTGGTTTTGGCCCAACGGAGAAAGTGGGAACTGGCCTCAACTGCTTTGGTTTGGAGCAAGGATTGGTCTGTGGGCCTGAGAAATGACAATAGACAATAGCGATCAATAGCGTTATTAAAAAGGATCAACTACCAGGTTTTCATGCTCAGCTCAGAACTCTAAGATTGGAAGGGGGGGCTCGCTTCTGTCCTCAAGAGCTGTTCCCGCTGAGTTGGATAACACTAACGTGCTCTATTTTTTGAGAAAGGCTTGTAGTGAAGTCCCAGCAAGCTAGGTACGCGTTAATCCCCCCTACAACAGTCCTTTAGATCCGGCAAGCTCTGCACGCCATCAATACGTCCCATAGGTCCTGCCAGCACGCATCAGTGCACCCCCTGCAACTCACTGACCAAGAGACATGCATTTATTAACCTCCTGCTGGATTTCGGTCTGGTCCTCGCATTGCAACGGCCAAAAGAATCTGGAGCACAGCACACGCTCCATGGCCAAATGTCAAAATTCACAGCTTTTGCCTTGATGCTGATCCTCCTCATCTTGAGATCGGCCCAAAGGAAAATTACTTGAAATGCAAGTTGTCAATTGAGTCTAAAGAAAAATATTTGACTGCAAGAGGTGAGGGGTGAGGTAGGGCTGTTGTGGAAGAGTGAATCTCCAGCATGATGCATTGAATCATCTCATGAAATTCTCTTAGCCAAGCTACCGCAAATTCACTGGCCACAGGATGCAGAGGCAACCAATTTCGCTGGGGCTTTCTATGTGTTGGGATGCTCGCACCATAGAATGGTCCAGCTTTCGCAAACCCCTCCGAGCAACATGCTTCCATTAGAACATCACAGAACTCGTCTATGATTGTTTACTGTCTGGTAACCTAACATAGCTATGGAAAGCCACCATTTGTTTATATGCAGATAAGATAATCTACAAACGGGCCATTTTCCATAGCTCTGTTGAATTACCAGAGGGTGTCCTTTGGTGACTCTTGTCCCCTTTTCCAGACTTTGGATTTCAGAAAGCCAGCAGCAGATGCTGCACTCGTCGAGCTCAGACGTCTCTGTTCACACTGCAGCATGCTCTCAGCATGCTCTTGCATTGTTCGGAATGAGTTCGACCACAACATGACTTGTGATGTGGCCTTACAATTTCGGATCGAACTTCCCGCTCATGCTGAGCGAAGCAGTAGGTGCACCCCAACCTGACTTCCAGGTGTTTTTGCTGCAAAGTTCTCATGGATTCCCTCATTTTGTTTTTCAAAGGTCATCTGAGTCATCTGATTCTCACCATGAGCTGGGTTTGTTCGTGCTAGACTTCAGATTGCACTGGATGAGGACATGGACACGCCGTGACAAGTTCCACAACCAGTTGTACACTCTCGCCTCAGAAGACACGAGATCGCTCATCTCGCCCACCTGCAGCGGCATCATCCAGGGATCAGGGAAGTTCCAGGGAAGTTGACGCTGGAATTCGATGCTTGGTGAAGTCTTCCTTCGAAAGATGCCAAAGTTTTATTGCCGGAAAGTGAACTCATGCCCGATTGTATGATGATACAACGCACAGATACCCAGAGCCAAGGTATGACCCACGCAATTTCAAGTCCTGCAGTCGCCCGTGCCTCCAAGTCAAAGGCCGCTCGCAAAACCGGCGCTGGCACTGCTGGCCTCCCAGTGGTAAACAAGGTGGGCCAGAGAACCCAAAAGCAAGACGGCGCACAGCACGCCTTTTTAAAAAAATTGTGGTGTGGACAGCTGTGCTCTGCACGAAATCGATGTAAGATCTTTATTGAAACATCGTGTGCACTGATGGCATCAGGGGCCACAGTTCACCGCATGCTGCGTCAGCTACGTCTACATTTTTCTAGTCGCTATTTCTGCTATTGTAATTAATTCTATCCCATTTTTCTAGTCGTTATTTATTTTTGAGTTCTCGTTTAGTTTGCTTCGCCGCAGGGGGAGCGAGAACGAAGCGTAAACGGACAGAACACTGTGCGAAATGATAACTAAACGATGGAGGGAGTTGACCAAAAGAGCATGAAAACGAATAAATGAAGATGACAGATGGTGAATGATCATGAAAAATGAGACATGATGAAAAATGGGTAAAGACTTCTCTGTACAAAAGTTCCTATGCGTAAAAGCTACTGTGTGTAAATGCGTCTGTGTGTAAAAGTTTCTCTGCGTAAAGGTTTTTTTGGGTAAAAACAATTGTGTGTAAAAGTTTCTGTGTAAAATCTCCTCTGTGTGTATAAGTTTCTGTTTGTGAAAGTTTCTGTGCGTACCAGTTTCTGTGTGTATTTTTTTTGTGCAAAGGTGTTTTTTGTGTATATAAATTGTTTTGTGTGTAAGAGTTTCTCTGGGTCAAAGTTTCTGAGTGCACAAGTTTCTCTGTGTAAAACCTCCTCTGTGTAAAAGCTCCTCTGTGCAAAAGCTCCTGTGAAAAAGTTGCTCTTTGTAAAAGGTTTCTCTGCGTAAAAGCCTCTCTGTGTGTGTGTGCAAGTTTCTTTGTGTTACTTCTTCTTTGTGTAAAGACTTCTCTGTCTGTGTTAAAAAAAACTATGTGTAAAAGTTTCTGTGTAAAAATTTCGCTGTGTAAACGCGTCCGTGTGTAAAAGTTCCTCTGTGTAGAGTGTTTTTTGTGTAAAAGTTTCTGTGTGTAAAAAAATATTTGTGTGAAAACCTCTGTGTATAAAAGCTCCCCTGTGTGTACAAGCTTCGCTGTGTAAAAGTTGCTCTATGTAAAGTTCTGTGCGCCGTAAAGGTGTCTGTTTGTAAAACCTTCTGTGTGTGAACGCATCTGTGCGCACAAGATTGTAAAGGGTTTTATTCTCTGGGTGGTGGTAAAGTCCTAAATCTGTTCTGTTGTTGTATGCCCTCTTTAGTCGTGTCTCGTCGTTGATATTGCTGAACTCCTCCAAGTATTTGTTTCCCTGTTGTATCTCCTTACTGAATTTTTCCAACAATTCCTTCTGTTTGTTGTTGTGTTTCTTGTTGTATTCTTTACCGTCAATCTCTTTAAAGGGATTTATCCTCTGTAGTCGTCCCTGTGCTTCATATCCTCCATTAACTTTTTTTGAAGCATATATAATAATGTATAGATTATTAATATGTTCTAAAGTTATTATATCATAAAAAATGAGTAGATTTAAAAAGATATACATAGACAGCCACCACCGAACCCAGAACTCCAACAGTAGCAGTGATTTTGAAATTTACCTGCCCGAAAGTCAAGAATGCGGGAACGACACCAAACTATACATCCACGAAATCACCATACCTAATTCCATCTATCCAGTTCAAGCGGGGTTGAACAGCAACCTATACTTAAGACTGACGGATTTTTCTAACACTACGGATGTCATAGTTGAACTGTTGAGTGCTTCCTATGTCGGTGCTACATTGGCATCAAACCTTCAAACAAAGATGAACGAAGCAACAAATGGGTTTCAAGCCAACAACGACTATTTTAGTGTGTCTTACGACTATGACACCAACAAAATAACTATCACTTTAAACTATGTGGATTTTTCGTTCAAGATAATGACCGACTATGAGATGAAGTATAACACCATCCAATGGACGGGAACATCTTATGACAGAAACAACTTAAAATCCATCAATCAGGTTTTAGGAAACTACACCTCATCGTTGAACTATCCAGATTGGACAAGCGGGTATTTGACATTATTAGCGTTGAGAAATTTATACCTTACTTGTAGTGAATTGAGCGACGCTAAACAATTAGGTTCAACTGGTGCTTACAACATCATTAAGAAAATCCCGATTAATGCTCCCTTTGGTTCAGTCATCTATGATAATGAAATCATCAGCGTGGATTGCATCAATGTGTCAAATAGAGTGCTGAGAACCTTACACTTCAAGTTGGTTAATTCTTATGGTAATGTGGTTGATTTGAACAATGTGAATTGTTCATTCTCCCTGACCTTCATTGAGGACGATTAGAAACTTGTTTCTAATCAATTGAGCGTAGCGACATCGATTGAGGTAAAAATTTCATTGATTAACTCACTGGGTATTCTATATAATTCATCTTGACTATGGATTATAGGATTATCACCCCATTCGCTCTTTTTGCCTGATGGCATCCGTTGGGTTGTTTCCTTATGTTTGTTGTTGATGATGTTTCCGCAGTCTTTTTTACATAATGGTCTTGGTTTCCAACTGGTTAGGTTCGTCCATATCCTTGTTCTTTTTCTGTATGGAAAGCCGTATTTACAATAATCAATGTCAAAGTAATCAAAGTCTTTCATAAAGTCCTGATGTTTCAACAATCCAGTCTGTGGGTTTTCTATGAACCATACCGAAGGGTTGAAGTATCTGATTATTTCAATGGTCTTTTGAACGATGCTGTTGGCATAATCTATTTTTCTAACACCAGTGGTTTTGGCGATGCTATATTCAACAAAAGGGGGAGAAACCCAAATGATTTGAAAATTGTTTCTGTTGAATTGTTTGTAATCCCAATTGAGTATGTCAGTGTTGATGTTGGCATCCTTCAAGTCCAACGAGACAACATCATAACCTAACTCTTTGGCGACTTTGCCTACACTTCCCGTTCCAGAAAACAGTTCAAGTAATTTCATATTATAAATCTATAGATTTAAAATATGAAACTACGACAGCAACACATAGGAGTTGTTTGACAGGTCTTTATTGATGTTGTAGTATGTTAAAGTCTCTTCTTTGGGTTGTGTGATTTTACCCGTTGTAATCCACTCAAAGTATTGTTTCCTTTTATCTTCCCACGAACCGACGGGTCTGCCTATCTGCTTCTTTTCAAAGGCTTTGTTTATTCTTTCATCAGGGTATCATTGATATTCAGTTTTGGGTATCATTGATACTCGGTTCTGGGTATCGTTGATACTTGGATACTGGTATCTGGGCATCATTGATACTAGGCTCTGGGTATCGTTGATACTTAGATACTGGTATCTGGGTATCATTGATACTAGGGTTGGGTATCTGCGGTTATGCAGGCAATATGTGAAAATTACTCTTGCATGACTCACCCACAAAACATCTCAAGCGTCACAGTTTTTTTCACCGGCGAAGCTCACATGGATCCTGCATCCCTCAACTTCTGCTCATCCTCTTGAAAGAGCTTGGCGGCGAAATGCCAGTGCTTCAAAGCCACAGTTTCACTGGTTGTTCTCCTCAGGACGCAGTCTGCTGGCTCCTCACGAAGAAGTTTCAACTTCATTTTGGTGTCTTCGTCGCTCTCTGGGAGATACCCCATGGGTCCTGCCCCTGCCACCTGGAGGAGATAGTCCTTCACTTCCTGGTCATCCAATTTCCTTTCAATTGATTCCACCCTCTCCTTGTACCACTGCTCAACCCGCTTGATGACCGCATCCGCACCTTTCTGACCTGCTCTGGAGACATTTCGCAGTATCTCGCCCAAGGCGCGGAAGTTGCCCCCTGTGCGGATGTAGTAGTGCTTCAACACCTCCTCTTATCTCATCGTCGGCAAGAACCTTGTTCAGCGTCCGGAAGTCGTTTCCCTGCTTTGCCACCTCCTTGACCACAGACGTGAAGTCTTCGAAAGGTAGTGGTCGCACCACCACCAAATCTGACATGTCAAACCTTTCTTTGATGATGTCGGCCACGGCAGACACGCTGACCTCCAAAATGAACTTGCACGCGGCATTGTCGTAGGTGATGTTGCGAGCTAAGGCACCGAGGGTGGAAGCAATGTCATCACAGGCATCCCTACTAAATTTGTCTCCGCGGCTTTTGGTTGTGAGTTGCAGGTATACCACGACGGCACTGCCTGTTCGGCGCTTGCACATCTCGTTCACCTTTTCCAGCATATACTCCACTTGTTCTGGGTAGTATCGCGGCAAATTTACTGCTTGCAATGCTTTGGGCAGCGCTTCATTGAGTTTCAAGTCCTCACCAGGACGGCTTGACATCTTGAGCGGGAGCACCCTTTTGCCATTCTTCACATGCTCACACATGAGATTGTTCAGCATGGTTGATTTCCCAATGCCTTGGGAACCACTGACCACCAAGAAGGAAGGGGTGCTCAAAGCTTCACCTTGAGGTGAATTGATGAAGTCCTTGATGTATTCCTCCTCGAGAGGCCGTGCAGGGGCGGGCTCTTTCCTTTTCAGCCTTTGCCCAGCCTTCCTCACTTCCCTGTTCATGAAGAAGCCAGGAAGGAACCTTTGAATGAGAGCTTGGAGAACCAGCACTACGACGCTCCCTGTGCTCAACAACGTCCAACCAGTTTGAACGGTCTGCGCCGGAAAAGCCCTTGCAGGCTGTGTTCGTGCATGACCGCTTGGAAGGACGAACCGGCCTCGCGCAAGCTCAACCTGCCTCACAAAGATGCATCTGCGGAATGTCGAAGAAAAGGGACAATACATCGGTTCAGTCAGTTTGTGCCAAACTGGCTTTGGTATTGAAGGATGCTTGACATGCAAAACCAAACAGGAACCACAGCGCCTAACCTCAATCAATACATGAATTTGAAGCAAATAATTCGACATCTTTGAACAACAGCTTGGTAGAATTTGAACCTGAACCTACACATAGAAACTCTGACCACCTCAACAATTATCCCCTTCATTCAATCCAAACATTATCACAACAACCTCAACAACACATTTAGCAAGATAATCAAAAAGAAACAGTCAAACATTTCGGATTACAAGATTGAACAAAAACATAACACCCGCCCAACTGACCTACAACCTGTCCTGTCCTAGTTTCCCTGTTTTACCATTTTTTTCCCACGGTTTCCCCTCCCCGTCCTTCTCCATCCGTCCACCTTGCCGTCGCTTCCGTATCGCTCCTTCCCAACGGACCTTTCCCCAAGCTATTTCCCACGGTTTCCCCTCCGTCTGCCTTCCTTCCTTCCCTTCCCTTCCCTTCCCGTCCCCGTCCCGTCCCATCCCGTCCCATCCCTTCCCTTCCCTTCCCCCTTCCCCCTTCCCCCTTCCCCTTCCTTCCTTCCTTGCTCGTCCGGCTCTTCTGTCTCGCTCCCGCTCGCGGTGAAGGAAGCTAAACGAAAACCCAAGCATCGGAGATGCTTTTGGGAAAAATGAAGCTCCTGTTTGACTTCAGGATGCCAGGTGTTTCAGACTTTGTTTCATGGTGTCGGGATCCCTTGAGTTCCTTGTTCATAGCTTAGCCCTGCTGACGATTTCGCAGCTGAGCTCCTGGCCGCACCATCTTGCCGTTGGCTCTTTGTGAATCAACACCTCGCCCCGATCTATCTGATCCGACCCGATCCCACCCGAGCCGAAGATCTGCCCACAATCGCCGCGCCAGCCTTTGTCTTTGTCAAGCCAACCCAGGTCGCCCGCAAGCTCGCCACCCTGCAAAGATGATTGGCCTTAGGACTTTCGCTCGTAGCAAGTCATAGCATCATAGATGATCATCTTCCTTTTTACGTTTGCCAACTATCATGTGGTTGGGAAACTCTTAGTAGTAGCTGCTTGGCTCCCTAGTCAGTAGGGAATATGATGTCATGAATATGCATACCCATATCTAGCTAGTTTCCTCCTAACCGGATAGTAAAGTCTTGCGTCAGTGTCCAGATTTGTTTTCTGAGCCCCGGCATTCCGAGGAAGATCGGCAAAGCAGTGTGAAACTCTTGGACAGCCCGGCACCTCAATTCTCGGAACAGCTAGGGCGAACTGGGAACGTGGTCACGCATGGAACCCCCTCCGTTTTCACACCAAAATCGCTGACGTGGTGTGATTATGAGCCCCAAAAAATATCGTATTTCATAAGTTTTGATCCATCCCCATTTCGGAAGAGTTGTTTTTCCACATCTTGGGCCCCCGGTGGTGTTGGCTCCAAAGGCTCCAGACCATCTTTGGATTGACGAAGCTCATCCAACACCTCCAAGAGGGTGAAGGGTAGTTGGATTGGTTTGAAGGATTTGCTGAGGAAACCATAACAATGAGTATCCATACTTGGGGTCCTGCAAATTTGAGTCTTCTGTTTCATGGACAGCACACATTCACAACTGCATCTATGTTGGCCAGGTTTTCAATTTCAAATGAAACAATCTGTGCACATACCAAGCGCCTGCAGCAGCTGGCCTTCAGCCTCCTCCAAGGGATGTTCTCGATGGCTCAATGGGTGCGGTGTAGTTGGACGTTGATATATGTTGATATAAGCCCTTCAATACCCCGCAGAATCCCCCATAATCATCATCCACCCCGGGTTTTGAACACTGCTCAATTGAGTGTCGACTGTTTTCAATACATGATCTCTAGCAGGCTCTTGCACCATGCGAACCATGGGCATCTCCTCGCCCGTGCGCTGGATCTGCTTTCGCCGCACCGGATCCTTCAGAATTTCGTCCAAATCTCCGGATGCATGACCCAAAAAAATTTGGCATCATGCTCCTCCAACAACGAATGCTTTAGCTACCCGGTTTGGGAAATTGAACGTTCTCATCACAAACGTTTTTCAAGCAAAGAGTTGGAACAGGGCAGGTTCTCAAGAAGAAGTTTGTGACAGCTGCTCTAAAGAAGTATTGAAAATATCCCTCTTCTGACCCTAGGTTTGACTCGTATCCAAATGCCATATCAGTCTGTATTTTCTATCGGATTCCATAGCGTGTTAAAACGGTACCCAAAAAAGGGTTTACCACGTTCTTGGAATCGAATATGCCAAAAAAAATCTACGCTAAGCCACGAAAGAAATAGAAAAATGTTTTACCACTATTTCAGTGAGATCTTCCCTTTCTATATTTCATATCTATATACATATATACATATATATTTTTTTTCCAAGTGCAGACTCACAAAAAGTCTGAGCACCGAACCTAAGCCTGTATCAGTGTTCAAAAACAACCAGTTCAAAGAGAAGGCTCAGGAGAACGAATTGGGCGAACAGCAGAGCTAACTACGGGCTAGCCTTCCTCGTGACAATGAGCCGCAGGTAGTATAGAAGACGGGTGTTTAAAATAGTAGGTAATTTACAGTGGAAATAAAGAATCAGTCAAAGGACAAGAACTGTATATTCGATAGTTGAAACGAGTCACCCACCATCAGAGTTTTTGAACTATCTTTCATGGTATGTGAGTGCAATTGGTGACGACATTCGGTGACGACATTCGGTGAAGACATTCGTTGACGGCATTCGGTGATCGAACCGGAACCTGCAAAGAAGCAAGCATTTATGCAAATACGCCTTGTCTGGCATTAGCACTATGTACTATGAATTGGATATGCTCCAAGACGTTAGAGTCAAACTCATCCGCTCGACCTAACAAAGCGAACGCATCTTTGAATGAATGCAACAGCCAATCAGTACGGGGCCTGCCTGGCCTTCGATACTCTATACGTGGTGTGAAAGAGTTATATTCAAAAAGGACTTGTCGCAGCGGGTCATCTGGGCTAGATCGAAGAATATGACCAAATAATTTCAGTTTGCGTTTTAACCAAATCTGAGAAAATAGATGGATAGACAAGCGATGTGTGTCTCGTAAGACATCCAGCACTCTTTGATTCGAATAGGAACGGTCAATGAAAGTAGGAGGAATCTTCAATATGCGACGTAGACTTTTCATTTGAAAAGAATTGATTTTATCAAGGTCTGGTTGTGTGAGCTGAATGCATTCTAGTCCATATAAAACTTTACTTCGGAGGATAGAGTCAAAGTTATCGAAGGAAGTTTAGAAGGAAGTTTGGAACTCAAACTTCCGACAATATGGACAGATGGAAAAGCCGAGGCGGGAAGAGTCAGAGAAGAGAAAAGAAGAGAGAAGATCAGAGAAAAGAAAGTGTCAGAAGAAAGAAGATGGAGGTGCGGGAAAAGGTAGGAAAGTCGCGAAACCCTATGTTTTTCCAATGATTTGTGGCTCCGGAGGGTCGAAAAGTAGGCTCGCTAAAGCGGCGGTTGATGAGCCATGTGGTCAGATGAGAGATGAAAAGTTGCACGCCGTTGTGACGCGAAACACATGTCCAAGTGAAAATGTACAAAACACAGCAACGTGGGACCACTTTGGAAGTTGAGATGTCGAAAAAGTGCACGCCGTTGTGGCGCGAAGCACATTTCCAAGTCAATATGTGCAAAACACACCATTCTCGGACCGCTTTTGGACGTTGAGCTGTCGAAAAAGTGGACGCCGTTGTGGCGCGAAGCACATTTCCAAGTCAAAATGTGCAAAACACACCATTCTCGGACCGCTTTTGGACGTTGAGCTGTCGAAAAAGTGTACGCCGTTGTGGCGCGAAGCACAATTCCAAGTCAAAATGTGCAAAACACACCATTCTCTGACCGCTTTTGGACGTTGAGCTGTCGAAAAAGTGTATGCCGTTGTGGCGCGAAGCGCATTCCAAAGTCAAAAGTGGAAAAAACTGAGGGGTTCGGAGCATTTTTGATGTCGTTTTGCGTGGCAAGCACGAGGGATTGTGCACCTTGCCAAAAGTGAGCAAAACGTGAGGGTTTTGTGGCAGTTTCAACTACAACCACTACACTGCACTACACTCCCCTACGCTACAACTACACTTACAACTACAACTACAACTACAACTACAACTACTACAACAACAACTACTACTACTACTACATTACATAACACTTCGCTACACTACACGACACTACACTCCACTCCACTTCACTACACTACACTAGACTACACTACACTACGCTACAACTACAACTACAGCTACAGCTACAACTACAACTACAACTACACTACATTACACTACACTACGCTAAGTACATGACACTACACTAATTACATTACACTACACTACACTACATTATATTACACGACACTACACGACACTAACTACAACAACAACTACAACTACAACTATATTACACTACACTACGCTACACTAATTACATTAGGGTCCGGAATTGTTTTGGGAATTATTATTTCCGGTTCGGGAATTTTTTGGGGATCCGTTTTTTCGCACGTTTTCCTCGCTAGTTGCAGCATTTTGGAGCTGGAAGCTGCCATTTCAACTGCTTTGCAACATGTTGGAGTTGAAACCTCTCATTTTCCATAGAATTTGCAACATTTGGGTGGAACTTGTAACATTTTGGAGCTGGAAGATGCTGTTTCAACGGTATTTGCAGCATTTTTGAATTCGAACTGTTCATGTAAAATGGTAGTTTGCAACTAGGGCTTCATTAAGGGTTAGTTTAGGGGTTCTGTTTGTTTAAGCTTTTTTTGATGGTTGGGTTAAGAGTTAGGCTCTATTTAGTTTCTTGGGTTAGTTTAACATCTTTTTCGGGTCTGTTTTAAGTTTTTATTTAGGCTTGGTTTAAGACCTATTTATGGTTGGTTTAGGACCTATTTAGGGTTGGTTTAAGGTTTGTTGAAGGTTGGTTTAGGATCTATTTAGGCCTGGTTTAAATGGCTTGGGTGAGCATGTATTTGCGGCTAGTTTAGGGTGTGTTTTGTGTTTAGGGTTTATCCAGGCTTGGTTTAGGATCTATCTAGAGTTGGCGTAGGACCTATTCAGGATTGGTTTAAAGTGTGTTTAGCGTTGGTTTAAGACTTAGAATTTATTTAGGTCTGGTTTAAGATCTATTTAGGGCTGGAGTAAGGTTTATTCAAGATTAGTTTCAAATTTATTTAGGGAATGTTTTGGGTTTACTTAGAGTTGCTTTAGTGTTTCTTTGGTTGGTTTGGGGTTTATTTATGGTTGATTTAGGGTTTATTTACATGATGTTTCTTAAAGATTATCTGCAGTATGAGAATCAAAAAAGGACGGAAAAACAAAGAATCGGAAAAGCATAAGCAGAGGAGGTGGAAAAGCAGAAAAGCATGGAAAAGCAGAAAGCAGAGAAGCTGGAAAAGCAGAAAGCAGGGAAAAGCAGAAAAGCGGAGAGAGAAGCAGAGAGGCAGAGAGGCAGCACAGTGGAGAAGCAGAGAAGCGAAGAAGCAAAGAAGCAGAGAAGCAGAGAAGCAGAAAAGTGGAGAAGCAGAGAAGCAAAGAACTCTAAAAGCAAGAAAGCAGGGAAAAGCACAAAAGCAAAAAGCAGAAAAGCAAAGTAGCAGGGAAACAGAAATCCCCAAAAAATGCCCCAAACGAAAGAAAAATAATTAAATAAAACTCCATTACATTACACTACGCTCCACTCCGCTACACTACACTACACTCAATTACATTACACTACACTACACTACGCTAACTACAACTACAACTACAACTACAACTACAACTACAACTACATTACATAACACTTCACTACACTACACTACACTACGGTACACTACACTACACTAATTACATTACACTACACTACACGTCACTACACCACACTACACCACACCACACCACACTACACTACACTACACTGCACTGCACTGCACTGAACGACACTAACTACAACTACAGCTAGAACTACAACTACAGCTAGAACTACAACTACGCTACTTTACACTACACTACACTAGACTACACTACACTACCCTACATTACATTACACTACACTCATTACACCACCACAAATGCAACCGCAACTACACTACACTAATTACACTGCACCACAGCTGCAACACCACTACACTACAACTACAGCTGCACTACACCACACTACATCCAGCAGTCGTGGGTGAGGCCGACCAAATGACCACTGCAACCATTGTAACCACCTCTTTTTTGACAACTCCGACCAGCTTTCAGTCCATCAGTGGATTCGCTCTGCCATGCGCGATTCGCATCAACCAAGCTCTCCTATAGGTTTTCTATTCTGAAACTTCCGCCACCGGCTTGTGCGGTACTACTGGTATACATAATCATATATATATATATACACACACATCCCTTTTATATCCCAATTATGGTTGGCATTGATTTTTGGGGGGTCCTATAACGCCCATTCCAAGCACAGCTTGCAGTAGGTCCTCAGGCTTCGGTGTTGTACCCCCACGCCAGGCACGCAGGAGAATTTGGCGAATGCGCACACGGCCTGGTACCTGCATGACACACCGGCCGTTTCTGAAGCAGGATATATCGCATAATATCGCATGTATTGTACATGGAATCCAACAGGAAACAGGATTGCTGCCGTGCTTGCGAGACGTCAGGGAGCAAGCCTCTCTGGCATCCACGCCAACAACTCGTTGACGCTTCGACGGAGGTTGCCTTGGACTTTGACACGGTGCTGGTCACCTGGTCCGAGCAGTCTCTGCAGCTTCTGCCAGGTCACCCAGGAACCGAGGTGGCGGAGATGGCAGCCAGCCTGAGACGCTAC